GGCGAAAGGCCTCGTGCGTTGGTCTGTTTTGGGTCGGTTGTGTGTCACATGCAGCGCACACACTATTCGAAGGCCAGCTGTTTCGAGCATGGCAGGGTTGATAAAGTATGTATGTTTCTATACAAATTTAATGCGCTCACAGCTGACTCCCGGTGGTGGCGGCGGCGGCGGCGGCTCTATGACTGGGTGCACAAGATCAGCAACAAAGTGACGTAGTAGCACGTTATAGTGATTAAAAAAACATGCGAAGCGCCGCCGCCGCCGCTTTTTGATACGAGGAGGATCAGCGCCAGAGAGCAACTCACTCTCCCGCAGCCTTCATACGCTGGCTGCTGTATTAAAAATTAACGACTACATCCAAGTTTGATAAGCAAAACCAGCTGACTCGCTCGCTCGCTCCAATTTTCAAGATCAAGGTTTCCCTTGCTACGTCGGCTACCTATTTATTTGCCTCGGCTGCAGTCACTAAATTTTGCAATCAATCAACCTGTGCCGTCGCGCGTGAATATTTCATGATTTGCTCTGCGAGGGTCGCCTTTATTTCGCCAGCTGCTCTTTAAAAAGTGGAAAATCGAACTTACGCAGGTCAGGAATTCGCGCATCTTCACCTCTTGAATAAAAAGTGGATTATATAAATATGAATTTTATCAATTATTCCGTCTGTAAAACGTTGGCAGTGATTTCAACAGTCGAAACTATGCAACCCGCGCATCGTCGCGGGTGGGCAGGATGCATTGAATACTTAATTTTTCTTAAGATTAATTTCTAAACGAACATAACGTGGAACACTATATTTTCATTAAAGAGCTTTTTCAAACGTATAATTTTATTTTACAACTGCAATAACTATTTCATTTATTTATTTTTTAGTTTTTATTATTTATTATAAAAAAAAAATGAAGAAATAAATTAAAATATAAAGATTTTCACTATTTAATATTTAATAATAATAAAAACAAAAATTATATTTTAAGTGTTTAAAATAAAAATAAATCTAAAACAATGTTTGAATAAAAAATATTTTTTTTCAGTGAATTTAGTAGTGATGCCGTTTTTGTACCGGTATAAAACCTATAATAGGATAGGTAGGTTATTTTTAATAGGTAACAGGTTTAGGTATTAGGTGATTTTTTTTAGGTTTTAGGTTAACCTATACCTAAAAATTTCGCGCTCGCTTCGCTCGCTTCATGTTATTATTATATTATTTTTTTTTATTTTTAATTACGTGCATTAACATGATACATTTTTTTTATAGCTTTGCATGTATTTATTTTTTTTTTTTAGATGATCGTTTTAATTAGTTAAATATTTTATTTTTTATTTTACAGCTACAAGTTACAAAGGGTGTTGCGCTATTAATAATTTCATGAGTTTTTTCGGCTGCGGCTGACAAGAAAAATACTATTAAAATTGACTGCAGTTATTAATCAAAGATTGCAAAATTCTATTATCTAAATATTTTACCGTAAACCTATTTTAAAATCAGAATGAGCAAAAATAAATCTAGTAGACCTAACGCAGTGCCAAATAAATAGATTTCTGTTCAAATTATTATTTTAATTTATATAATAATTTATCAACATTAATTTATTTCTTCTTTTTATTATATATTTTGATTTTTGATTGACCCTGGATTGACCATTACCCTCTCTCACAAAATCAACGTCAAGGTCAGCTTGCAAATGCATGGCAACACAATCATTGATCATACAAAGCAATATAATAATTAAAATATTATTAGCCGCAATTTCCATTCAACTATAAAAATAGTTTAAAAAATGAACAAACACAAAACGGTCGGAAGATGTTTTGCGTTTTGCACTCTGCGCCATTTTTATTTCTTTCCCTTTTTGGCCTTTTTTTAAGGTTATTCAGCTAGTTTTAGATTAGTTTAGTTTGCTAAAAGCCGAAAAGTGTACGGAGATCTAAGAAATATATCAATAGAATATGCAACGAAAAATTACATGCCACCCAGCATGCCTACTATTTTTAATAATCTTGCAAGATCATGTTTTGGAGGAGAACTAGCCATTATTATATTCTCTTCGATAAAAAAAATTTTAAAAAAAAAAATTAGGAAAAAAGAAAAGGAAATGGCTCACATCTAATCTGTCTGCTTAAATAGCCCAGCAACACAAGTTACATGTTGCTGACTATATTCATTTACAATAATGTTTGTAGGCGTCAGTCTCAAGTTGATCCAATTGGTCTTTCAGATCACTATGAAAATAATTTTCATTGACTAATGTGTACGCGTATATATTTTTGATATTTTTATTATGATTGTTAGTACTTTGACTTTTTTTAAATGCAAATTTAATTTTAATTTTTTTTAATCATAATTCCATTGATAGATTTCTGAGATCTCCGTGCACTTTTTCGGCTTTTCGCAAATTTTTAACGGAAATTACTTATTCCAGCAGTAAATAATTTATTGGACTCTTTATGTACATTTCCCTTGTTTTTTATTTGCTTTCTAGATTAATTAAAATTGAATTTAAGGTGCCAAAAACTAAAAAATTTATCCAAACTTTAAAAAAATATTTTCTTGTTGAAAAACTGTTTTTTAATAAAAAAATATTTTAGTTTCAACGCATTTTAAAGTTGGCTTCTATGGTCCAGATAACATTTTTATCCAAAATTACTCACCAAGACACATATGCCAGCAAAAAACGATGGTATTAAATAAAGTTTATAAAGTTATAAAAGAAAAAAAGGGTGGTGCCTTCTGCACCATATCAATAATGGGTTCACAAGATTTTGACTTGGCCTGACCCCAAATAATAATAATAATAAACGCGCATACACAGATTGGATATGCGTGTTTGATCAATTTTATCATGTTATTTCCAACATTGCTAAATCAAGCTATGTATAGTTTCAATTTTATTCCATATATACATATTCGCGTCGACAGCCTAGAAACTAGTTAGAAAGATAAATCAGCGATGAGCGCTGGGATGTGACTTGTCGACTTGTGAGATATGTTTTGCATAAAATTAAATTTCTTTTTTATATTCTTTTTATGTATTGAAAATGAGTTTCTAAATTTTGGTTAAAATTAACTTATAAAAATGACATAAAATTAAATTTTCTAGCATGAAACGACCTTACGCTTCGCGATTTTTTTTTTCATTTTTCGCATTTTTTTTTCAAAAAAAAATTAAACTTAAGAAAAAAAATTGATAGGTTAGACTGCATTTTGCGCATTTTTTTCAAAAAAATTTTTTTCTAAAACCTAAGAAAAAAATTGATAGGTTAGACCAAAATTATTAGGTTTTAGGTTACGATAGGTTTTTAAAAAAAACCTACCTAACCTAAAAAACCGGTTATTTTTGATAGGTTTTAGGTTAACCTGTACCTATCGCGGCATCACTAGAATTTAGGAACGCTTTAATATTTATTCAACTGAAGGTGTCTGAAATTGAAACTGATAGTCACCTTTTGCGCCTTTCAAAGAGCCACCCCAACAAAAGTGTCATTTAATAAAAAATATTAAGCTGCGAGCGCACGTCTCTCTTTCGCTGTGTCGCCATTCAAATCGCGTGAATGGGGATGGCGTGCCGTGAATAATTACGGCGCGACTCTTTAATACACAGAGAGAGTCATAACACCTGTTCTCCCGTCAGTGGGGCTCACACACGACACGACACACTCGACCTGTCAAAATAAGCAGCGGGAAGAAGTGCAACATGCGAAAGGGCAGCACAGAAATTGGCTATCGTCCCCCGTAATCCAATTTCATACACATAACAACCGAGAGAAGGAAAAAGAACAAAACAAGACCAGGCCTAATTGAATTAAAAACGTCAATAAAGCCCCTGCCCCGAAATTAATTTCTCGGAAAAAGTCCCGTTTTTTTATAGTGCGAGTAAATTCTCATTAGCCGCGCTTTTTTAATTATTTTTCCTTCGGTTAGCGAATGAATTTTTCTTCCAAGAGGGGAAATTTTCTTTCTTTCTGTAATTAAAAAAATGTAACAAACCTAGAAGGGGCGCGGAGGGTTGCATCTTATTATCTAGTTAAATTTTTTTCCCCTGACAACCCACCCTAGTTGTTCAAAAAGAGGGATCTATGATGTGTATTTAAATGTCGCAGTTGTTTCTGAATAATTGAGACGTGCGCTCAAATATTCATCGTCCAGCTGCCTGGCGTGGCGTTGAAATCCATCTAAGCACCTGACAAATCGCGCCCGTTAATATTTAATTAATTGTACTTTAATTAAGCCGGGCACGCGAATGCGATGAATATTTCACCGCCGCTATCAACCGCACGAAGACTCGAATTATTAATGCTGGCCGCGGCGTGTGTTTCAAACCAAAGTGGAGCGCCGCTGCGTCGTCCGACGGATTACCTGTTAAATATGCAACCCGTCTCGCTGCGACAGGCAAAGAAACGCCTGAATTAAGCAGGGTAGTTTGCAGCCACCTAAGCCCCCGGTTTTGATTGCGCTTGGTTAGTACTCGATCGCGTGTGTGTGATCTCTTCTAATGCACTTGCGATTGAATTAATGTGAATAATGTCAGTGAGCAAAACTTGGATCCAATCAATTGATTCAAAGGCAATTAAGGATCACATGCAGAATGTTGTTTCGAAATAAAGGAATAATTATTGAAATACTCTAAATTATAGATACAAAATTTTCAAGATTTTTTGTTCCAACCTTTTTTAATTAGAGATTTGTTTATTTACCTTCATTAATATTTAATAATAACAATAATGAATAATGAAGCATTTTAAATATTTATTTGTAACAATTTATTGTATTAAATGCGACGATTTTGCAAAAAATTAATTTAATTCTATCTAATTTTTATTTGTCATATAATTTAATGATACCGAAGAGATGTAAAATTCAGGAAAAACTCGGTTGATTTGTCCTGGCTTCATTAATATTAAATCAGCTAGGAAAGTATAGATTCACTTCAATTTATTTTAATCTTAAATTTTAAAAACTCAGAGAAACATTTCTTAAAAATTTTTACCGGTGCTTGTTTCAGGGTGACATTTTTGGCGGCATCAACGATGGCTTGCTTAGCAGGGCGGAGGCCCTGGCGGCCGTCGACATCTCCAAACACCAGGCCACCTCCAATCCAGTCGGCCTACCCCAGTTGAAGCATGACATGATGTACCACCCTGGAATGCAACACCCTGTCAACACAAGGCCGCAGACGGGTGACTTCAAGGTGGTATGTACCCAATTAAATGATTCATTAATCTTTTTGTTTTTGATGAAATAAAATTCGGCTTCCTCAGTGAAGATGAGCGACTTTATTGTTTCTGCATGATACAGAAAATCCCTGCTCTGCTAGTTTCGGTTGGGGGCTGAGGAAGCCGGTTTTTATTTCATAAAAAAAAAAATGATCACCTCGAGTGCCAGAAGGTTCCACAACAAAAACTTCAAAAACAAGAATAATCCTTCAATATGAAATTTGCAATAATTAGCAAAAAATTAAAATCATAATTTTCAAACTTTCTAAAATTTTGTGTGGAGAACATTTTACCCCCGTTCTTCAGTCGGTCCAAGAAGCAGAAGATTTAATAAGAATTTCGCCTTTTTTCGTATTCTTTTCGGTTCCCGATTTTCCTGTTGCGATCGGTCGACACATTTGCGTGTTTCCGTGTGTGCGAGCGGGCGCGTTGGAGAGAAGAGCAAACATAACGCGCGTCATGGGTGGCCATATTTCTCAATTTAAAACTCATTCACCTCCCGTCCCCATAACACTACTAGTGCACTGGGAATTCGGAATGCGATTTAGCTGAGAGGGGATGAATATTGGCAATGAATATTGACTCAATGGCAGAGCGAGCGTGAGCGCGGTGGAAATTTTATTACCAACGGCCAAAAGGCACTCAAGGCTGCCAAAAATTATCATTCCAACGCCACATATCTCACAATTATTGCCATGAGGGGTGAGAGGGCGAACTGTGATTTGATTTTTAAATTCAAATTTGAGTTGCTGATTTTTATTCTGATTTTGATGATACGCTTGCGGCATCATATTTTTACTACTATAAATTTTTCGTATGGCTGTTGTAAAAAGTAAAATAAAAATATAACTGTATTTTAGTTATATTTTTTCAAAGAAAATACTAAAATAGTATTAAAATTTTAGTTTTTTGTAATTTGTAAATAATGTTAAAATATGAAAATTAGGTATTTTGTGTTAAAAAGTCTCTTTTCATTTCAATGGTTTTTGTTGTTGTTTTTTTTTTGTTGATTTTAATTATTTCTTTGTTACAAGTAACTCATACATTTCCATTTGAGTTCAATTCAGATATTCCAGATAATCATATTCAAGTCGTTACATGTCACCTTCAACAGTACCTTCTTGTTTTCAACTGAATTTCATGTTGCTTATTTTTTTATGAGATATTTTAGGTTTTTAGTTTTTGGGGGATTATTAAATTCAGTTTTATTTATAATTGTACATTGTAATATACAAAAATCCTGAAGCATTTAACGATTATTATCATATAATAATTAATATGAAATTATCTGATTTTAAGAATATCGCTGGTCAAGAAAGTCATCTTGAAATTTCAACTAAATTAAAAAAAAAATACATGCTCACGACTTTATTGATTACTTTTACGCTGATTAAAACTCACTCAAATTTTTCTCAACATTTAATCTTGAAGGACCAAAATTAACGTGTCCATGCCGCAAACTGTGTCCATGGTAGTTTGCGGTTAGCAATTTCGTCCGGGTGTATTACTTGTCGGTGAGCGCGCAATGACGCTTGTTCGCGTGTCAGCCCATTATGCACGTTGTGTAGCAAAGCAGCCGTAGAGACAATGAATGCTCGGCTAATGCAGGCAAGTGCGTTATTAACAGCGACACAACAGCAGGGGCCGCACGGAGAATCGGGCTGATAATGATGAAATATCGGCGCTCCCGGGGGAGGCCGCGCCGCCGCCACTCTTGCTGCTTGTTAACAGCAGCAGCCATCCAGGGCGCTGCCCCAGCCAACTACGAGAGGCGGGAGATGCTCTCTTTATGAGAGCTAATTGCTCCCTTCAGCCGCACTGGCAGCTCTGATGAGTTCGAATTTGTCAAACCTTTCTTACCCATCTCATTTCGCGGCCGCACTAATTCGCCCGGCATAATTTCCTCACAATTTTCCTTGACCGACGGCACCAAATTTGTTATTGCTCACATTATATTTATTTTAGGCTAAAAATTTAATTTAAAAAAATAATCCGATTGTATGATTGTCTTGATCTCAGAACCTTAAAAGCAAAATTCTCGCAATTTTCGGTGTCGTTTTTTCCAACAATTCTTTTTCTTTTAAATCAATTCTATATACGAGTAAAAAATGGTTTAAAAAATGTGAACAAATAAATAAGAACAATTATCGGTGTTTAATCAATTAAAACGAAAATAAATCCAATAATTTTAATTAAGTTCGTTGTTGTTTAACTTGAATTTTTAATATTCAAAATATAAGATACGACTTAGCACACAAATCTGTTTAGTTAGTCAGATTTTTTGAAATTAGATGTGAATTAATTGGAAAATATTTGAGAGGCTGATTAGCCAAGTTTTATTTTATTGATTGATTGAAAGAACCTCTCTTGCGTTTTATTTTTACAAGCAAATTATTACGCGATGCAAAGCACTAGCGCGTGTCTAATTAGAAGAGCACTCTTATTTTGAGTGGCTTTAATTTGTTTGCATAACAACATTATTGCCTTGAGTGCTACGATCAAAAGCTTATGCGAATACTTTTCCTTTTATCTCCCTAATCAACCCTCGGTTCAAGGGGGTTGCAGAGAAAGAAAATTTTCAACGAAATTTCTACCGGCTCCTCCACGTTTCCTTTGGCTGGAAAAGAATTAATTAAGCAATTCCAGCTCCTCCACTTTGATGAAGAAAAATCATCAAATTTTGGAGTAAAACATGAGGGTAGAACTTTTTCCGGGACATCCTTTGCCAGTCTCCGTGGCTAATTTAATTTCTCTAGAAAACACACACAAGGCCCGCCCCATCGGCTGCTGGTAAACACCATCTGTGCAACAGTTTACGAATGTATCGCATCTCGCACAAATTCAGTCCCTGCTGAATCGGACCAAAAATCATCAACCCCTCCCTCCCTCCTTGTCGCCCGCCCCCGCCCTCGAGCTCGTATAATGCAGAATCGATTGCGACCCCTCGCCGCTCGTAAAATATGTTGTGCATTATCTCAACTTAATTATATAGCAACAGTGGTCACAGATATGTACACGCGTGTCCCTCGTCGGCCCGTCGCATTTTGCTCTCTTCAATGATGCAATTCCCAAGAAAGTCCAATAAGTCAAGGGATTTCGCTGCAACGCTGGGTCAAAAAATACACATTACTCTTTATTCGCTTACTCTTAATTTACCCCATTCGTAATGTTTGCAATAACAATTGTCTTTCACTCAATCAAATGTAAAAGTTTAAATAGTAAATATAAGCAATAATTAATTTTAAAAAATTAAGTATAAATCGAACAATGCGGAGGAAAAATTATAATTTAAATATATGACCTTATTTTATTATCTAGAAAATAACACGAATAGTGATTTTGGAATAAAAAAGTAATAATTTCTTATAATACACTTTTACTGTTTTTACACACATTATTTCTGCTAAGCAAAATATCAGCTGAATTTTCCACAAAAAATTGCGCTTATTTCCAGCTCGATGTTTCCCGCGGGAAACAAAAATCATGCTTTTTAAGCTCATTAATTTTTCACAATTTTACATGCATGATGTCATGATGAGTGCAGCCAGCGGCCATAATTTCGCCGCGCGCACCGCATAAATCCACTTTTTGCCAGACGAGCAAGCGACCTGCCTGTCCACTCAAAAAAAAAACGTTGTAGTACGTTTTGTGTGCGAGCGCGCGTATCAAAAAGTATTAATCGCCAGCACTCACCATAAATATACGTGAATCAATAAAGGCCACTTGCATTATTAACGACCAACACGTGAATAAATGATGAGACAGGGAGTTCCTGCACAAACACAAAGCACCCACAGCCGAATTCATTTAAGAATTAATCCATTCCCGACAATCCATGGGCAAAACAAAATGTATAGGAAACATAAACTTTATTTGTAACACTTAAAAAACGAAAATTTTTAGAGATGAAATTACTCACTTAGACACATACAAATTGATGAATAAATAAAAATATAAAAGCAACGAAGTAAATTATCTAAACTGCAGATTTGAAAACAATAAAAAGCTCCAGAAAACTTTCAATTTCAGGTATCAATCTTGAACCTTATTGTCTAAATTAACAAAAATTGCTATACGTTTTTATTTCAAACTCATTTAAAGCAAATAATTTTAATATTAATAAAAAGTATAAGTAGGGCGTACCCCTCCAAAACGTACAACTCTCAAAAATAGACTAAAACAGACTATTTTGCTCCAAAATTGACTGAATTTAGGACGAGAATCGACTGAAGTTAAGCCGAATATCGACTATAAAAATTCGACTATTTTGACCTTAAAAATGGTCTAAAAAGCTCAGCCCAAAGAATAAGTAATTTTCTTCCTTCTTAGAAAAAAACTCCTTGTTGCTATTGATTGCAAACATTTACTGAAAAAATACTTCAGAAGGATAAAAACGTATATTTTTGTGTTTACTTTAACATATTATTTGAGTACATTCAATTAACCATATTAAAAAAATTAAAATTATGATTATCGTTTGACAGAATCGAGAGAAAACTTCAGGTCTTAATTATAATTGTATTGCAAATCCTTACATTATGTCTAAAACATAATTTTATAATACTTTCCACAGGAAAAGATTAGTCTTAAAATGAAATTAAACAATAACAGTGTCGACTGAGTATTTTATAAATATTGTAATTGTCATCAGAATATTTGTCTCATATTATAAATTTTAAATAATTATAACTATGTAAGATTAAATATGTTTCAAACTAGGAACATTAGCAAATACGATTGTACGATTCTTAAAAATAAAGCTTTATATTTGTGGAAACGCTGATAAAGTTTTTTTAAATTTTTATCTGTTTTCTGTCTTGGTACAAAAAAGAAAACTTATGAAAATTGCCCCAATTTAATTTTTCTGCGGTAAGCCCAACTAATTAAGTGTAAGAGGTCTCGGTCGACTAATGAAGCGGCTAATTCGCCGACAAGGCGGTCGCGCGAGATTTAAAAAAGGCACCGAAGTTCATAAATAAATGATGGCTATAATGATATATGCATGGCGCCGTGCAAAATTTATGGCACCGTGTGCGCCGCGACCGCCGCCGAGCAGCAGAGAGCAGAGTGAGTCGTCGGCGGTACATATCGAAAGTGCGCTTTAATAAATATAAAACGGCCGCCGCATGAAATATCAAGTGCACCGGCACGACCGAAATAACCTCCGCCCAGCAAAATCAATTTTATTGCTAGCAAGTAATCCGGTTAAGGCCGTAAACCTCTCAAGAGGGAATAAAAAGCCACCACTTACTAGAGCTAGACACAAAGCTTAATAATGAAAAAGACGTCAGGTCTACTCCATCTTGTTATCAAAATGAAAAAAAAAATAGCAAAAATTAATTAATTTTAATTGGTATGTGAGAAATTTTCCAGGATATCTACGTAGTTCAACTTTGGTCAAAATAGAACAAATATGGTCAATTTTCCTGTAGCAAATAATATTTTAAAAATTTTAAAATACTTGCAAATTATATTCAGCAGTTTTCACAAGTAATGTAAATGTTATGTAAAAAAAGGAAAAATCTATCAAGATGACTTCCTATAAAATTCCACTTTAAATTTGGTAGCAAAGACCACCATATGTATTCAAAATACTTTTAACATATTCCAAACCTTATTTCTTGTATCCTTGAATGTCGTAAAAAATATTTCACCAATTGCATGTCTTGCATTTTGTGGATCTGAATTTTTTGGGATGAATTAGTTAGAATTAAAAAAATTTTAATGTCTGGAAATTCTACCGAGTTATAAAAATTGTGCAAAATTGCACACACCCCTTACGACTTGGTCCCTCTTTGTCAGTCTCTCGCACTCGCTCTCGGCGGGGGTGAATTCAAAATGGAGTCGGTATATCGAACGTTTTGCTGCCACCGCCGAGTGAATAATTAATTAACACGCTGTCATTTAAGTTTCAAATTAGAAGCTCGCGCAGATTTGGAAAGATATTTTGACAAGGCTGTCTCTCTTCCCCTGCTTGTGATCGTTTCCGCCCTGGTAATTAGCGTGAATTATTGAATGATGAATAAGGCATGAATTTATCCGCGCCGAATTATTATGGATTATGCGATAAGAGTGGATGGATGAGGACAAAATCGCTGCTATGGCAAAACGCTTCTAATTACCAAATATTAATCAATATTAATATAAGCCATTATTTAGCAAAAAGAAAAGTGTGAAAATTTCTTGGATCGCCAGATTTTGTTGACTTGTTTGATTTCAGAGATAACAAATTTTATTCTAAACTTTAAGTCAATGTAAAAAAAAACCTCTACCAAAATAATTACAAATAAAATTTGATGAGCATAATAATTGCAAAAATCTGCTGTTTTAAGTTTTTTGGGCAGTTCATGTCACAAGTTTTGATTCCTGCCGATATTTCTTGTACCGTTTATTACAATTTTTAGACTCTCTAAATTAAGTAACATGAAGAAAATTAATATATTTTAAGCTGCGAGTTAGGAGCAAATGCCATTGCTCTGGTTGCCGGTCCTGTCACCTTTTAAAGATGAAACCTATTTAAATGAGCGATAAAAAAAACCAGAGATAGGCAAGTCTTTCAGGTCTTGTGCACGCGCGGTTATCTTGTTAGCACAAGGAGGCAGTGATTCACGACATGCTCGGCATTAGCGCGGCGCCGATTAAAAATTCATTAGTCCGAGTGGTCTTTGATATTTGATAGCCCTGCAGTGTATAAATAAACATCACATCTGCACCAGCAGCAGTAGCCGCCGCCGCCGCCGCCGCATATATGCATGACATTGTCTCGCTCCCTCGAGAGCAAAAAAATATGGATGGGGGGCCTTTGGAAAATATGCAAACACCCACGGGACGCCGCTGCTCAAGTACATTTTGTACGTACGCTCTCTCCGCCGCCGAGCCACTCGCCCCTGCTAACGTTCGCTCGCTCTCGCCTCTGATAAGAGCTGCCACCTGATGTGTAGGCAACGTGTTAGGCGCCCCTGAACGGCGGGTCTGCATACTCGCGCTCGGCGGCAGGCGCTCCAACTTCTTACACATCAACTTCGAATTAATGGAAAATGAAACAATTTGAATCTATACGTCTGTGTAATTAAATTTAAAAAAAAAAAAAAATTACAAAATTTCAATATTGTCAACCGGTTAAAACACTAATTGCCATAAAACTTTGAGCAGAATTTAAAAAATTATGTTTAACTTGTAATAATTTAATAAATTGAAATTTATTATTCCTACTTATATCTCATAAATTTTGAAATTCAATTCAACATAAAAGAGTATTTTAATTTTTTTATTATTATTTCAGTTAAAGTTATTGAGATGGATAGAAAATTTGGCTCAAAAAAAGAAAAAAAATTAATTTTTTTTTTGTTTAATTTCAATTTTTAAGTTTCAATTTAGTAATTTAGTTGATATGTAATTATTGTGTTTTGCATTGAAAAAGCATTTGTATTAAAAAGATCTTTACAACAGAAACTTCATATTATGGACACAGGAAATGTTTTTGTTTGAGAATAGTCACAACTTGCATACTCGGCTGCTATGATGTAAAAAGCATAACAAATAATAAAAAAATAGTTTTTACAAGAATTGTTCTCATTTATTTAAAATTTGTTTGCAGATGGGTCACCCTGGGATGGACTCGTTAGAAATGATGGATCCGATTACGTCGACGTCGATGACAACGTTGTCGCCTATGAGCGACGCCGGCACCAACAACAGCGGCACCAACACCACAAGCACAGGTGGCGGTGTCCACCCTCACTACCCTCACGTCAACTCAATGATGGCGTCTCACCACCACCACTCGCACCATCCTCACCACCACCACCATCATCAGGTAAACTTCAATACTGTGCGTATTTCAAACTTACTTAAGAAAAATAATATAAATCAACGTAATTGTGAACGTTTCAGAATGAAATTGAGCAAATTTTTATTTTGTAATAAATAATAATATTATTTATTAAAAAATAAAAATTTTATATTGCCAAATTTGGGAAGGGCTTCGATTCTTTTTAACCATCTGTCTTTATTAATTCTCCTATTTACATTCATTTAAAAAACAATGGGGCATATTCAAATGCTAAGTTAGTTTATTAGAATTGCATGTGAATATCCCCAAAGATTTTAATTTAAAATTTTTTTATTTTTCCTAAATGAAATTTATGCGTTAATTTTTGATTCCATTAACTATGTAAAAATAAACAAAACATAGCAATAAATTTCTTGTTCACTCTTTGCGGTTCTCTTCTGTAGGATGCAAAAATTAAATTTTAATTAAAAAAACCGTGGGTGTAAAGTGTGAAATAATATTAATAATAAAAAATAAAAAAATTGTTTAAGGAATTATTAAACTCCATTTATGCAAAATATTTCTGAAATTCATCTTTGACTCACAATCTTTTTATCTAACCAAATTTCTATATTTTTATTTAAAAAATCTTTTCTGTTTCTAGCTCGCAGCAATCGCGGCCGCAGGCAACTCGGTTGGACTTGGTCACGGTGGAAGCGCGGGTTCAGGGGTCATGGGTCAAGGTGGCGGCGGCAACTCGTCTTCAACCTCGGCCGTGGCCGCCGCACACGCCGCCGCTGCGGCGGCTGCAGCAGCCCACGCGGCCGCCGCGGCACACGCAGCGGCCACCGCGGCGATGCACGACTCGGACACGGACCCTCGCGAGCTGGAGGCGTTTGCCGAGCGCTTCAAGCAGCGCCGCATCAAACTCGGGGTCACGCAAGCCGACGTGGGCAAAGCCCTGGCCAACCTCAAGCTACCTGGTGTCGGTGCCCTTTCACAGAGTACCATTTGCAGGTAATTAAAATCCTTTCGTCCATTATTATTACGATAAAATTCTACCCTTGGAAAAATTTAGAAGTTGAAATGATATATTAGTTTTGTAGTAGAAGTTCACGATCGAGGGTTGATTCATGGTGCTATGAATTTAAAATTCGGCTTTTCCTCGGTGTTTTTTTTTTGTAGTTTAAATTTTTTAAGAAAAGCAGGATATTGTTTTTACTTTACAATAAAAACTAAAAAAAACACCGAGGAAAAGCCGAATTTTAAATTCAAAGCACCATGATATATTAGTTATTATTTTAAAGTCATCAATATAAACATATTTGTTTGAAGAAGTTGACACTCGAGGAGATGATCATGGAAATGAAGAGATCGCGCTTTTCCTCGTTGCAGAAAAATTGTTTTTATTCAAAAACAAATGGTAGAGCCATTTGTTTTTGAATAAAAACAATTTTTCTGCAACGAGGAAAAGCCCGATCTCTTCATTTCCAATATAAACATAATTTAAAGACTGCCAGCTTGAATTAAATTTAACTTACAAAATAAATAGTTATGTGTGAGGTAAAGTTTCATTCTATCAATTTTTGTATTTTGTGTCTTATAAAGTATCCAATCTTGAATTATTTAATATCAAATTTTGTTTATTAAAATCATATTTCTAACCATTCCACATGTTTCAGGTTTGAGTCTCTCACTTTGAGTCACAACAACATGATCGCACTGAAACCAATTCTGCAAGCGTGGCTCGAAGAGGCGGAGGCGCAAGCCAAGAACAAAAGGAGGGACCCTGATGCGCCGTCAGTCCTTCCAGCTGGAGAAAAGAAGCGGAAAAGAACATCCATAGCCGCACCAGAGAAAAGATCACTTGAGGCGTATTTTGCAGTTCAGGTATATTTAATTTCACTAATGCCACTTGAGTAAAAGAAATGAATTCATCAAAATAAAGAACAAAGTTCAATATTTTTACTTTTTTTTTAATTTTTTGTTAAAATGATTTAAAAAATAAAATTAATTTAATATCTAAAGAAAGAATAATTATATAGATGCCCTGGTAAATCGCAAAAGACAATTAATAGATTTTCATAATTTTTGGCATAGTTTATTTTGAGAAAATTAGTTTAATGAAAAGAATTATCAGTATTTTTTTTGTTTCAAAACTTATGGAATTGATATTTCAGCCGAGGCCATCAGGAGAAAAAATCGCAGCGATTGCTGAAAAGCTGGACCTGAAGAAGAATGTGGTGCGCGTGTGGTTCTGCAACCAGCGGCAAAAGCAAAAGAGGATGAAGTTTGCGGCGCAGCACTGACAGCACGACGGTAGCGTGTCGTCCGGCGGGGGACGCTACCACACCCATCACCAGGGCAGCACGCACTATCAGCAGATGACGGCCGTGATGGCCGCGGCCGCGGTGGTGGCCGCCTCCGAGCAGCACCAGCAGAACTGAGTGAAAGAGTGAACATGTGCGCGTGTGAAAAATAATAAAATATTGAAGAGTGCAAAACGAGTTACGTTATGAAATTGTCTTTGTGCAAACGATTGTATAAAAATTATGAGCGATCTCACTATTTATGCAATTATTATTCAATACCAAAACTCTTAAAGCGGTCGCTTTTTTGAAAAATCATCTAGTCCTTGAATTGTGACATGAAAACTCACAATACAGCAAATCTCGCAATAATATCTCTCAAGCAAGACACTCACATATAATTATGTAATATAAACGACGGCTAATGATACACATAATATCTATGTAGAAATATCAGTTAATTTTTAAAAAGTGTCCCAGAGGAAAAGTAAATTTCAAAAACTCACGACAAATAATCGTGAGAAACTGAGCGCTACATTCATCTCGCTCAAATTCACAGGATAAGTGATCCTGTCTCTGTTGGTAAAGTAGATTTTAGGCCAATGTAGACCCCTCACTTGTGTTGAAAGAGAATGCGGTGTACTTGTCTTATTAACAATGCTATTGATTTTTTTCTCCATTAACTGCAGATAACACATTTGAAAAAAAAAATGAAAGTAAATTATTTAAATAATTGCTTGATATATATATTTTTTTGTATTTAAAACTATATCAAAATTTCTTATTGTGTATCCATGAATATTATGCTAACTTTTGTTACATCCACTATAAATATGGTATAGTTGGAAATTGAACTCCTGATTTATTTCAAAAGATTAAATTATCTTGAATTACTGTTTTCTGTTTAAACCTACAAAGAGAATTCTGTGTTCTAGGTCAAAATTTGAGCTAAAAAAATATCCTTCAAGGGACGATTGAGACTAGCTTGATTGTTATTTTATTTATTTGACTATTAATCTGCACTTAACAAAAATATTATTTGATCACACCAAACCAAGCAGAGAGGTCAAATTCGGTCCCTATAAGTAATCCATTCTGAGATGGATGGAAGATTATTTTGAATTTCCAGACTCCACATGGTCATTTTGTTGAGTGTTTGATTATGTTATTTGTACTTTAATAAATTACTGTTCACTGTTCATAATAACAACTGTAGGGAAACCCAGTATTTTTTTTTTATAATAAACTAGCATTATCAATTTTAGGAATTCTACGTTTAAAATGTTCCTCTCTGCTTGCACAAAAAAGTGAATATTAGTGACCATTAAAAAAGTTTCATTGTTGACGGTGAAGAAAAGTAGTCTTTTCTGCAGTTACTCTAATGTATAATTATTATTAAATGCAATTCATGTTTCTTTCATTCATTGTGATATTTTGTCTGATATGCTTTTCAGGCTCTTGTTTGCGGAGAAACTTGATGAAAAGAACTACCTTGAAAATTGTAAAAACAATTTGAAACTCTGTAGAAATTAAGGGTCAACTGTACAAAATAATACCCATAGGGCTTGTGCCATGGAATTAAAAGAAAAAAAAAATGAGAAAAAAGCATTTTAGCACAGGATAAATAAGGGTGTGATCAATGCCACCAACATTTTACCAGCAGATAATTGAGCTCATGATATTTATTTGAAGATAATGATCAAAAGGTATTGTAGAAGAATTTATTGTATCTGATAAACAAAGTCCTGATTTTGAACCTTCGCCTCTTTAAGAAAAATTATACTGTAGAAGTTCTAGCTCAATTTGTAAACTACGACTATTGTAATAAAATGCTTTTAAATTTTGGAAAGATATGAAATGTTTTTTTTTTAAGAATGGAAAAACAAATTTACAATGTTTATTACTTTATTGGCAAAACTGAAAAAAAGGAAACATTTGAGCATTTTTAAGACTTGAGTCAATGACAAAAAGGGTTATCAATTATTTCAATTTCACATCATTCTTTGTCCACCTCTTTGTCCTCACTCTCTATGGTTGCAGCATCGGATTTTTCTACTATGTTGCCAATATCGGAGCAGTCATCAAAGCTAGGTTTCTTAGAAATAGCCTCATCGTTGTCATCTGCAGGGTCCTCCTGGTCAACAGGGAAAGGCCGTTTAAGGATACGCCTGACCTGATAGCAAATTTCATTCTAAACTCGTATATTTTTTTCTTTATTTAAAAAAAAAAAACAGAAAAAAAAACACTAAAATATATTTAAATTTAGGAAATTTTAACGTTAAAATTGTTGAATTTTCTATATTTAGAATAAATAATCTCAGAAAATAACTGGACAATAATAAATTTATAGTTCAAAATACCTTATCTTCCATGCCACCTTGAGCCTCGAGATGGTCCTCAAAATTGTGAAGAATCACAGTGGGGCAGTCACCAAGGTCATCAATTGACATGTCTGACCCATGCACACTCGAGGTTTCTTCATCAATTTGGGGACGGGGTGGAAGGACAGTCAGTGGCTCTCGAAAGACAAACTCCACAGGTGTAGGATCCTCTTCATTCCTATTTTCTTCTTTGCATTTCTCAAAAACGTCAGCAGCCAAATCAATTCCTTGCTCGGCACTAACTGGAGTGTCTACTTCAATGCTCTTGGCAAGTCCAGTCAATTTTTCAGCCTCATGACTCAGCTCACTTTCATCCAATTCATCAACATGAAATTCAGACACACATGACTGAAATGCATCCTCCTCCTCGCACTGAGTCTTGTTTCCTTCTTTCTCAACCAGTGTTTCGTCTCCACCTTCCTCAGTGACCTCAAATGATGGTTCTTCGAGATCAATTTTCAATGTTGACTCTTCTTCCTTGAAGGACTGATTTTCATCATTTTTGAAAGTAGTTTCTTCTCCAGCGAAGATCTCCGCCGGCACATCTTCTCCACCAACTTCTCTTTCCTTGTCTGAACAATTGGATCCCAGTTCAGGCTGCACTTTAGGCTCACAGGAAAGGTGTTCTTTGGTTTGTTCTTCCTCCTGCTGCTCATGGGTCTCAACAGCAGAGGGCATCATCAATTCACCATCATTTTTTTCAACATCACTAGTCACTTCTTTGCTGTCCTTAAGAATATCATCAGACTCAGTTTTCTCTTCTGACAACGGCTTTACATTTTGACTCTCGATTTTGCATGCTGGTTCCAGGACCTCCTCAGTTGCACTTGGTTTTTCCTCCTGTTCTCCAGCAACATTCTTCTCTTCCTCATCGCTGCTCTTGACAGCTTCACTTTGCACATCCGAGGTTTCAATTTCCTTTGAAGCGGCTTCATGCGATGCAACATCTTTTTCGCAGATCAGATCCTGTTCCTGGGAACGCTCCTCAATGCTAATTTCAGGAGGGCCAAACTGCTGGACCTCCTTATCAGATTCTACTACAATTTGCAATTCAGCCACTCCATCAGTCGATGTAACATCTTTTTTGTCATTCATATCCTGTTCCTGAGAATGCTCCTCAATGCTAATTTCAGGAGGGCCAAACTGCTGGACCTCCTTATCAGATTCTACTACAATTTGCAATTCAGCCACTCCATCAGTCGATGTAACATCTTTTTTGTCATTCATATCCTGTTCCTGGGAATGCTCCTTAATGTTCATTTCAAAAGGGCCAAGCTGCTGGACCTCCTTGACAGACTCTTCTCCAGTGTCCATTTCAGTCACTCCATCAGTCACCATTCCTTGTTCAGCATCTAGCTTTTGCTTCTCTTCAGCGGAATTTTCTTGCAGCGCCTCAGATTGGTTTTTCTCAACCTCGAGAGGCAATTCTTTGTCCGTTTTTATATCACCATCATTTTCCTTAGGAGGCTCCACAGCAACCATGACATCAGTCATCTCTACTTCCACCGTTTCAGTATCCATTCCCATGGGTGCATCAAGATTTTTGCTAGCCATAAACACTGCGATGTCACACAGGTCTTTGGGTGGTGTGAAGCTCATTGGCACAAATTCTTCAGCCATTATGTTCAGTCCAGGGCTGGCAACTTTTCTGATGTCAATGCCGTCTTTGAAAATAACTACCCCTAGCGGGTACTCCCTTGGGTTCAAAGTGAGGAATTCAAATAGCATGGTTTCGTCAGAGAGCAGTTCCCTAATTTTCTTTTTGACCATTTCATTTTCAGGTAAATTTATCATTCGTGCCAGCTGACACAGTTGTTCAACATTCTGCAGATCCTCTGGCAAAACTCTAAGATCTGTAACAACTGCAGAGTTTCCATAGTCTCGGAAGTTCACCTCAATCCTTCCATCTTCAATGTCAACCACATCTGCTCTGTACCAGAGTCCGTCATCAGCAAACTTGGCTGCACGCTGGTCTCCAACTTGCACATTTTCCGCAACAGGGAATTCTTCAGCTTTTGTCAGGGCTTCCCCAATTGCTTCAAGCTTGGCGGTGTTTTCAGCATTCTGACAGTCGATGGCTTCCAAAGACAGAATATTTGATACATAACCTTCAAACAGGGTGCGAATGCACATGCCCTCGGTAAACAATTTATCAATCAGGGTGCTGCCAGCAAGCTTGAAATCAACAACCAGAAACTCATTTGCAAGGGCCTCGATCACCATTTCCAGGGGGGCTTCATCTTCTCGGAATAGTTCAGTCTCAATCAATTTTTCAGCCTCTGTTTGAAAGTGTGGTAAGAGACACAGAGGAATGCAGCAGCAGGTTGCAAAGGGAGGTATTTTTCCAAGCTCTTCTGGTAGTTTTCGGGCCTCTTTCACGGAAACAACATTTCCGTAATCAACCAAGAGCCCACACATTTCTGGTTCCAATGATGTCACTGAGCAACGGTACCACAGTTCATCCTCAGCATTTCTGCGAACAATATTTTTATATTAAAATTTAATTCATTAATATTTAAGTGGACACTAACTTTGCTAGAATAAGCTGATTGATTTCCACTTGCTCCAACCCTTCACTTTCCACCTTCTGCAGAGTTGAAAGAAGGCCCTCAATTTTCTTCTGATCAGCCACTTTTTGTACGTAGAACTTGCTGTAGTGTTCAAAAAATGTGACAAACACCTTCAATTTGGCTTTAGGAATGAGCTTCTCAGCATCTAAATTTAGTTTTTTTTTTTAAATTAATATTTATAAAATTAGAAATTTTTAAAGCAAACAAACCTTCAGATGGTTGAGGTGTTATGTCAGCAACAAAGCCTCCCTTTCGCAGTAGGTCCACAACATCATTTCCATCCATTCTATGCAGCTCAACTTCCAGTTTTCCATCAGGTAGAATATTTTTTACAGTGATGTTGAATTCTCGACACTCACTAAAAATGCAGTCAAATTCCTTGTTTGATCCTGCTTTAGGCCAAGGTTTTCCATCTGCTGGTTGTACATCATGTAGTCCACAGAAAATGGCCTGCACAGGGTATGAAGCAAATTCTTCTGGCAAAGCGTTCAGCTCTGACAGTTGAGCAATCTAGCGAAAAAAATTCTGTTAAAATTTTATAGAAAACAAAATTCTACATACTTTGATACATCCATGATCTATGAGCTGTACTTTGCACTTGCCGTCCTTAATTGCAACAATCTTGCCTCTATAGAGCTTTTGCTGGAGATTAAAGTGCACTAATGATCCTACAGTTGGCTTGAAAAGAGGTAGGCGAGGAAAGCTTTCCTCGGGAACGTCAATTTTGTCTCTCAAGTTTTCACTGCATAATTGATAATTGATCAGTTTTATCACAGCAAAGGCAAAAAATTTATGATTCTCTCACCAACTACCAGTACGATGCAAGAAGAAGTTGCTTGGGTTTGTAAACCAAGAGAAGGTCACATCGTTGACTCTTGTGCTAACTGGAATGATTTCCAAAGGCAGGGAGCCAAGAGGAAGCAGAGATTCTTGTGAAGCACCAAACTTAGTGTTGACACAATCGTCACCAAGCGTCATAGTCACACTAAATTTATCCTTCATTTTGGCCACAATTGTAACCTAAAAGTAGTAAAAGTGTTAGTTTTTCCATTTGTGAATTGCAAATTCTAGTGAATGAAAAAATAATGATATCACAAAAACCTGTATCTCCTTGTCCAAGAGCAAGGTCTCAAAAATTTCAAGCTCTTCACTAGACCAATTGGAATCTTTGGTTCCACGAAGAGCACAGTGGATGCTTTGTGCAGGCAATTTTGCTTGCTCTGGTTTCAAGGTCCTGACATCCATCTTGTCAACTTCACTGACATTACCGTAATCCAAAAAGGCCACTTTGTACCTCTGGTTACATTTTTCCTTGACCTGAAAACAGCATATTCTTAATTCACATATTAAAAAAAACTATATCCAACTTACAACAGCTCTATACCAGGCACCATCATCAACAAACTTGGCCCAGCAAAAATCGCCTTCATTGAGCTCTGGGTGATTGAGATCATTGCTAATGTCTGAAGTTGCAGCTGCCGTCATTTCATCAATTTTTATGGCATTCTCAGTTGGCTGAATGAAGAAGTCTGAGGGGCTAGTTGTGAAGACAAGGACAGACAGCAGCGTTTGCCCAATTTGTATTGGGAAGGGGTCCACTTTTAGACAAGTAGACGGTGTTTCCAATGTAGGATTCTCCCAATTTTCAGACGATTCCTAAACAAAAATTTAAATTGAATATAATAATAATAAAATACAGGGTATTATACCAATGATGATACTTTAGGTGTCACACAGTTGAATGGTCTATTCTGTTCATTTGTGCTTCCTAATGTAACATATTTATTAGTTTTATATTATTAAGGTAAGATAGTGATATTTGCTATTTATTTACCTGAAAACTTCTTGGTGTAGTTTTGATTTTGCCTCCCTTTCTCCTGGGAGGCTCCTGCAAAAAAATCATTCCGTCTCGAGTCATGATCTCCAAAGCCACCAAAGGTTTTGCGACTTTTGTTGCATCCATCAACATTGTCTGAAGAATTTCTTATGCCTCTCGGACTCTGCCTGTCTCTAGAGTTGTTTCTTTGGGCACCATTGCTTCCTCTGTCATCATTCCTTGCACCAAATTGTCTGTTTGTATTGTATCTTCCCTCTTGTGGCTTGCTATTATGGTTCCAGCCACTGCCGGACGCTCCATTCCTGCCATCCTTGCTATCACCACATTCAAAGGCAGACTGCCATCGTTTTGGCGATTGATCTGGTCTGTGAAATCTCTTAACTTCTCCATCATCTCTGTTATGATCCGAAAATCTTTTGAGCCCAACTCTATCAGACTCGTTGAAAGAGTTTGAGTTTTTTTGCTGATAGTTGCTGCCTGGACTGAGCTGGCTAGTCGAGGGCTGCCAAGTGCTGGTTCGACCATCATGCTGAATGGGATTGGTTTTATCAGCTAAGAAGTTGCTGCCAGGGTCATCCCAATCTCTCCTCTTCTTTCTGTCATGAGGTGGAATGAATAGAGGCTGACTTGCTTGCTTCTTAACTTTTTCGTCTGCAGCAAAAACTCTTGCAGCGTCATTGATTTCGCTGAAATTTTTCATTTAAATTTAGTTCCAAAATAGACAAAGTGCTTAATTTTCACTTGTGTGTTTACTTATAATATAATTTTAACTTCTTAAGGCATTAAGTTTGAATTTTTATACCTTGCTGTCTTCACTTTAATCTGTTGCCGTTCTTTAGCACTTTCAGGCACACTTTCAACCTGCATCGGTACTACTTTTGGCTGCAAAGTATTATGCAGAAGATCCAAGTTGATGATGTCGTTGAGATCAGTCGTGCACCCCTTTTCCATCAACCTTACATTGAGTGCGTTGCAAGAGTCAATTCTGTAGATAACAGTCATATTGAAGATCTAAAGGGTTTAAGGAAGATTAAATTCTGCCATATTCTTCTTTTGTCAGCATAAAAATTTAAGCTATTATTCAAATTATTAATTTCTTCTAAGTTTTGCCATATAAATTTGTTCCATTTTAGAAATATTAAAGATTTCGTTTTGTAAAAAATTTACTTTTAATATAATTAGGATTTACCTTATCTTCACTCATTTTCAAGAACAGGGCAGCTGCTTTCTTGTTTGAGCCAAGTCCATCCATAATGCATCTGATGGCCTGAGCAGGTTTGTTGCTCACGATGGTCCTATTGGTTGCTCTCAGTTTGCTCAAAGGCACTTCCTCTGTATTACCATAGTCCACGAAGAAGACTGATGCTTTTGCACTTTCAATCTTTTTGATGATGCCTCTGTACCAATTCCCGTCTAACTGGTACTGCGCCAGCACTGCATTATTTGGCTTCAAATGTCTTGCTTCAGGGATGTTGGCTGAAGAGCAGTAACACTCTAGGGAAGATACAGTTGCATCAATGCTGTCACATTCTGAAAGCAACTGCACATAAAATTCCCAAGGCATTGAAGTTGATTCAATGTCCACAAATGAAACCATCACATCATAAGACGTTTTGGATGAGAGAGTGCGAGTCTCGTATGCCAGGGGTTTGTTTGCTTCTTCCAAGAGCAAATCGAGGATGTTCTTCCCATCCACTTTAAGGTTGCAGTACTGCGATAATGGCGGACCATCTGGAGGGACCACAGCCAGCATAAGAGAAGACGATGATCCAGCAATTTGTGCAAACTTTTGGTTCACTTCAGGGTTGTCTTTAAGGGTTGGGTTTGTCAGCAGACCCGAGAGGCAGAACTTGAAAGCTTGCTGGCTATGAGCATGCAATTGTGATGGCAGCTCGGACAGGTCTTCATAGTTGACTGTCTTGGTAGAGCCAATATCAACTAAAAAGACTGCAGAACAATCAATATTGCAGGAAGTAATAATTCCCCTGAAGAAGCTTTCAGCAATTTTCAAAACACAAGTCTGGCCAGCACGAACTACAGGCAGTGGATTGAGCTTTGCCTCGCGCAAGCCTCTGTCAATTTCCTTTAGAATGGCAGCCCTTGTTTTGCACTGTACGTAAAATGCAACAGGGCCTTTCTCGATACATGAGATTGTAACACTATAAATTTCGTTGGGAGACAGTAAAGCAGGCGAGTAAATGTCTTCCTTTCCATTGTGAGGCACAGCTAAAATCAAATGAGCAATACATAAGATAAGGACAATACATTTATATAAATTATATATGTTGGCTTTTATGTTGGTTAGACTAGTTTTTTTTTCTTTCAGTTTTTAGTTGACGGTAACAAATTCAAAATTTGGGTGCCGATTGTTTAAGTTGATACTGCAATTTAATTTCAAAGACAAAACTTTTTTGGGTAAGACATTTACAAGGAATGCATGGAACTAAATTAATTGGGGCTTACTATAAAGAAGAATTTTATGACACCTTGCTTCAAGCATTTTTAATGATTTTAAACTCACCAGTTGTCTGCTGGCGGGGCACATACGCTGCAGGTGCTGGTACCATTACAGGGTTAGCAACAATGTTCATTGCAATTGATCCTTGCATTGGGCAACCTGTGCTAGGGTCACTGTAGGCCTGGTAGAGGGGCACTGAATAATCCACGGATATATTTGGTGGAGACATATCAGGAGAGGGGCTAATAACGTCCTTGGAGTGTTGGTTGTCTGAAAATGTAAAGATGCATTTAATTCAAACTGGAGAGCAAATATTGATTCTTACTTTCAGCAGCCCAGTAGCTTTCTGCTTTCAGTCTTTGCTGCGAGCTGTCAACCACTGTTCCACACCTCTCTTTCATCAAAATCTCAGCCAAGTTAGTGCCATTCAAGTAAACTGATGCAAAAACTCGATTCTTCACAGAGAACAGTTTGCGCACTTGGAACTCGCAATTTCTATTCTTCATCAACTCCTTGACTCGGTGCAATGCTTCCATGTTCCAGCTGGTGGTGCTGATCAGACCTTGCAAATATATTTTCTGATGCTGGCCTGGCAGGGCAAGAGAATCACTGTTGAAGGGAGTGAGCTCTCTTAAATGGCTTAGAGGAAGACTGACTTCAGTACCAAAGTCCATCAATTCAACACTGATATGGCCATTCCGAGGGAAATCAGTGCAAGCTCGGACCTGAGAAAATAAAGAATAATTATAACCTGAAACAAACATCTTGAATCTTTCTTTGGTTCTAAAATGACTTAGTTCAAAATTTAGAACAAAGTTAATATTAAATGTAAAAAAGTTTCATATTTCTTTTTCCAATGTTGATTTCTGGTCAATAACTAGTAAAATATTAGACGCAAATTTCATATCCGTTCTTCTGTAAATAAAATTTAAATCTTGACACAAAGACAAGTTAAAAACTTCATCTAATCTTCATGTTATGTTTTTTTTATTTAAAATTTGCATACCTGACAGCGATACCAGTTATTGTTGTACATGCAGCCTAGAACTTTGCCTGGATAGAGGCTTTCTGCGTTCACCAATGCATCGTTCCCTCCGTCCAGCTTCCCTTTGAGTAGCCTCAAGACAGCCTGGACTTGTGTTACAATCTGCGCATTGTAACCTCTAACAAGGACAAATGGACCGTCAACTTCAAAGTTGATGATTCGGTCCATTTCGTTTATCCTCAAAGACATTTTGTAACTGGAAAAAAAATATAAAGATTATAAGCTTTGACGATATTACCGGCAACCCCAAAAATTATTAAAAACAGAGTGGCGATCACTGTTTTGAGATTTTATTTTTAATCTAGATCACGTCATAGATAAAAATCAATGTCTTATTTACCAAATAAATCAATTTACTCAGAACAACTTATAATCTAAATTTTGTTTCTTATTCATTCAAATAAATACACTTCATTTAAAAAAAATAAAGATTTTAATCAATAACTTCAAATTCAAACCACCAAAACTGAGCTATAGCATTAAATTGATTATGTGGGCAGAGGGGGGGGGGTCAGAATGCAAAATTTCAGGTAAAATTTTGCGGGATTTTGGACCTTTCATTGGCATAGCTTTTAACACATTCAACCAAAACTGTAGGAGTTGATGTAAAAATCATAAAAATGAGAACGGTATGATTCCGAAAGATGGAGCTCACAATTTGTATCTCTCAAAAGTCTCCTGGACGCAAAATATTAATATGTTCCTAATAAATAATTACATACATGTTCCTATAAGCAAAAAAGATTCGTATAATATTATAAAGCATCCAAGAAAATATAAAAAATATATTTTAAAATTTTCATCGGCTCCATAACTGACACCAGCCGCGTTAAAAAAATTCAAATACATGATCTCGCTCAAAAACACCAAATATTTTGGCACAGATGATCAAAACGTCTCGCTATGCATGTCCTTACTTATGTATTCATCCCTTAAGGAAAGAGCCGGAATCAAAATTTTGCTTTTTTTTTTAAAAATAATTGGTTTAAAGGCATTCATTGGTAAATTGCGGTTCCAATGATAAAATTCGGGTAATCTATTCTCTCGTAAGAAGAAAATTTAGCCAACTACATGTGCACGTTTCAAAATGCAAATAATAATTTCAGAAATTACATTATGGCCTCCACGAAGCAGATATTTTCATGCAGAAATGAAAGTTAAAACTTAAAGAGACATGTTAAATAGAGGCAACTTAATCGGTAAGTATAAATACACATTAAAAATTAAAATCTTGGAAGTTCTTCGAGTTTGAACAGACAAGATGGCCGAACCCGAAAATTTGATTGTTCTCAACGGCCGAAGAATTTGCAAAAATTCGAGGGTCAAACATAAATTTTGATAGTTAATTTCTTACCTAGTCATTTAGTCAACCGAGAACATCGGTTAGTCGTTTGTGCAACTTTGAGAATTTCTTTTTGGCCAATTTTCTTTAGAAAATTCGCAGCGATTCAGCAGTAGCCATTCGAATACGACCTCACGTTCGAATCTTTCTGAGAAAAGTGATGGAAAAGTGACGCGATGAATCGAATGACGAATCGCCTGGAAACCGAGTGCCCAAGGACAAAGCGGTTCGATTGGCTGTTAAAAATTCGAGATGCGATCCGATTGGTCGGTTTTTCGGGTGCTCTTTGTCAAGGGACGCTGAACGTTTCTTTCCTTCGGTTTTGCCTGTTGCAACTTGCCAAGGTCGCGCCAAAGTCTTGCTCGCTGCTGCTGCAGACTGGAAAGCGATTTTGCATTCCAGCGCTCGGCTGCTCTTCTGATCTTCTCTCCTTACACTACACGCCATGCAAGTTGCAACGTCGCAAGTCTATAATGCAAGAACAGATCAAACAGAGGGAGGCGAATAGAATTACCAAAAATAATTGTCTCTCTGATTACGGCCATATATTATATACCTTTTTAATAACGTTTTTCTAAGTGGTCAATTATGTTGGAACAATACGACGGACATTATTTTCGATTATTTTTTCGTTTTAATAATAATAAAGGCAAATTTGAATTAATTTATGCCAAATTATAAAATTGCCTCTGAAATTTGCCAGGTAGCATTTATAGAAAATAAATAAATAAACTGCAATAAACACAGTTCTGGATTATTCAAATTTAATTAATTATTCTGCGCTGAAATGTCGTAAAAGCAACATATTTTATTTTTCAAATTGATTGATATCAAAAGTAAACAAAAATCTGTTTATCGTTTGGTTTAATCAGTATGAACAAAAATTATTTTCATCTCAAAATAAATTGCAAGTACATGCATATTTAATTAATTCCATTAGATGATCCATGATATAGAGTAGGTGCATTTATTTTATTTGAGCAAAGAAAGTTATATTTGATTCAAAATGAAGAGATATAAAAAATAAAATTAATCTAGAATTAGTTTAAATGTTTTAACTTTTTACTCTCCTTATCTTTCAACCTGCTAGTTTATGCAAATTTAATTAAGTGTGTAAAAGCAGAAAAGTTTTTCAAAATTTAAATGTTAATTATTTGTTAACCGAGTTTCATTGTTGTGAATCTGAAATTAGGGAAAATAGCTAATTAAATAGTAAACTACCTTAGCAGGTTTTCACACACATAAATTGAACTTGCACAGTTACAAAGGCCAGATGTTATAAGAACCACATACTTCATGCCATGCTCTAAACGCTTCTCACGACAGAAAGAGTGACGCTGTGACTGGAGAATGAATTATTTGCTGAATACGCAAATTAATTTGAGTGCAGACAAAGCTATAAAATCCTTCTCTATAGGATAAAAATAGCTTGGCTACATAAATTTTGGAATAATAACAAATATACTTTATTTAATTTGAGAAATATTATAATAAACTTCCTGTGTAATCGCATTGATGGCAAAAAATAGTTTTTAATATTCTGTTCATATTTATTAAATTTAAATATGATATTAAGGATTTTAAATGTAAAATACAGTATTATTTAAATATAGAAATGACCGGAATGGTATAATAATCTTCATTTTATTCAGTAGAAAGTTCTTCCATCTTACTCCTCGCAGTTTTCAAATCTGCAAAGACGGACAGAAGATTTAAGAAAGAAGTTTAGAGTTTCACAGCACCTCAAACCAAAAATTAAGTTAATTAAATTAATTTCTTACCTTTAACTAAAGATTGAAGTTGAGATTGTGATAAGGTGAAGATGACCTCTTCCTCTTTGCGATCAGTGTCCAAATAGTTCAGCCGAACAGTATTCACTGGGACGTTGCCCCCATTATTGGGCAACTTGATTGACTCCTTTGCACATGAAACGCTTTTCAAAGTTGACACTAAAGGGAATAAAAAAAAATAAATTAGCTCATGCAAAGAACAATTGTTGATCTTGATTTACATCTAAGGGAGGATTCCGACAAATGGTTTGAGAGTTTCTCATTGTTGTCAGTGTGGGTTTTGGCCAGGGCGGCAGCCAACTCTCGAGGAAGGCCAAGTTGCTGCAATTCGCTGTCAAGGGATGCCGAGTCCACACCGTAACGTGAAGCAGACCGCAAAATGAAGCCCAGAGCAGCCACTGCTCCTTGCAAATCTGACTGATCTAAAAATCACAACAAAATTGAAGGTGAAAAAGAGACATGTGTATTTTTTTTGTTTCTTAATAAAGGTCTTATTTATATGTGATTTGAGAAATATTGTTAAAAATAAAATTATAATTTCCAGTAAAATTGGGCTCATTGTTATTATCAGGCTATTATTTTTCTTCTTGATCGATATAAAAAGTGTATAGATTTCTGAATTATATATTTAGTATTTAGTTTTGTATATTTCAGATTTATAGAGCTATGTAATTTTTGGTTTGTATACAGACAAAAAATATATATATAATATGATCAGACCGAGAAAAAAAGGGGAGAGAGAATTTTAGAATAAAAAACTCAATGAAAAGAGTAAATAATGACAAAGTTCAACTAAAATTTTCTGACAAATGAAAAGGGGCAGTCTGAAGTTTGAGTAGGGAATTTTAGTGAATAATATGAAATTTGGTGTCTGTATTTGAATCAGTAAAAATTCAAGAAAATCTCACCAAATTTTGCATCCGACGTAAGCTTCTTTGCCTTGTCTTGCTGAAAAATAAAGAAAGATTGCGTCATATATTTTTAAATCTGTAAGTCTCCTTGCGCATAATTAATATCACTGTCAGCTTAAGATAAAAGGCGAACAGGTAAGCAACTCCTCCGCGCACATCGTTCCCACTAATTTGATTGTTCCGTGAAACAAGTGCTCGGTGCATTAAATTGAAAATGTATGCCTCTGGACAACATTCCCATGTTTTACACAAGACCAATAATGTGGTTTTTTTAATAAAAAAAAAAATTGAATTCTTTTGCTTTAAAAAGACTAAATTACCATTTTAATTATTTTGGATGTTCATTCTAAGTAACTAAGTCACAAAAGATATTACACAGCAACATTATAAAACTAAATATGGTTACATAAAATAAAATTTATTTAAAACGGGAAGAAAACTCTAAAATGAAAATAATAATGACTGAGTAAAGATTTTCCTGGACTTATTTGTAATTAATCAAAAAGAACTTATGAAAAAAAACATCCATATTTTTATTAACTATATAGTTTAATCTAAATTAAACCTTAGCCAAGTTTGGAATATTTTTTAGTTTGTTTTAAATATCAGAGTCAGTTGTTCTCATTGAGCACTTAAAAGAGTTCTGTTTTGCTGTTTGATGGTGTTGTAATGAATTTAGTGAAAATCCACTAAAATTTGATTATTTTTATAAATTTAATTATCATTCCACCACCATAAACAATGTTTAACGTATTTTAAAATTTCTCTGTTTTTAAAATAAACTTGTGTAGCGGATGTTTGACGACGCACAGAATCTAATTAGTGGAGCGTGTTTGCTCCAGTGCGTGCCGCACACACACTTTGCTTCATTCAATTTTTCTGCCCCCCATCAACGAGCGCCTCGCGTCGCGTTTTCCGGCGCCGCGAGCAGAAAGAAGCTCGGTCTGCACAATATCAAAGCACATCTTAATGGAGCGAGCGAGAATTAAATTTGGCACACATAATGGCCTTCGTAGGTCATCTAACAATTTCCGCGCTAGCTCAGAAAAGGGCTGGAAAAAAAAACAACCTCCTCCACGGTCGGCAAAGAGAAAGGGCCTCCTCGCATTTCTACTCCTACTGACCCTCTGTTTGACAAATAAAAATAATTGCATGCTGCACTCACGTCCAGCTCGTCGCCCAGCAAAGAAGCCATCACCACCTGGCACAGCAATTTCATCTTGATGGACGTCTGTGGAAAAACTTTATGTCTCTCTTTCTTTGTGCGGGGTTATTTTTGACTCACCAGTCTTGACATGGTGATGATTTCCGAGAGTACCCAATCAGGGCAATCAAGGTCTCCGCAAAATCTGAACCTCTGAAACACAAAAAATTAAAATTGAAAAGTTTTTCTAAAATATTTAATTTTCTACTTTTAACAGGACTTACCATCTCAGAGATTGATTTATCCTAGGCTAATGAATTTATCCCAATAGGATTCTTGCTTCAAAACTGAAACAAAAATAAAAAAAAGAATTGAAATATAATGATAATTCAGCATTCATATTTCATATTAATTTTGGGAGCATGCCAACGTCACAATGGAATAATGTTGCTCAGAGTTAAATGAGAAGGAGTAAGTTTTGTGAGGTGGAAAATTGCGTTATGAAGTGCAAATAATTACCACAAGCAGAATGAAGTGTTTAGAAATATCTTGTAAAAATCCAGTAAAAATTAAAATTAAATTATTGGCTAAGCTAATAAGTGAAGAAAAGACTTCAAATTTTAATAAATTTTGAGTATATTTATGTCAATCAAAATATTATCTTGTGATAGTTTTTAGTATTTTTATGTCAGTGTTTTGATTAATTATTTCATCTTGGCAGAAAAGCAAAGCCCCATGGGAAATTCCAAACAACTAAAGACAAACAATCACGTAAAGGTATGTTGACATTGCTCGACCACGCAATTTTGTGATATTCCTGGATTTCCAGGATTGTAAGAATTGCACGAATGAAGTGAAGTTGTGGGGCCGCATTTCTTTACTGAATCTATTCGTATCTGCCAAAATAAGCATAAATATGAAAATAAAAACATAAAACTTAAGATATGTTATATTATATTTATTCGTCTGGGGAGATATTTAATTAAGAGTAAATTTTAAAATTGATGATTCAAAATATTAAAAGCGCTTAATTTATTATTTTAAATTAGAAGAACAGTTGTTTATTATTTTGGCTTATTTTACACTATTTGCGAGGCCAATTTGCGCCACATCGTGTGAATTTAAATGGACAAGCAACAACAAGTGTGTCTATTAACTGTGAAGTGGGGTCACGACGAACCTCCATAATCCAATTTGGAGCAACACACTTGTTGGTGCCAGAGCAACTTGTAAAACGATGGCTGGGTCAGAATTGGATTTTAAATTTTCACCTGCTCCGAGAAAACATGCCGGCGGATGAAATAAGGAAAAGTTGGCCGTGGAGACGATTTACTAAGAAAAAGCGCCCCTTTGACAAGGGTTGTCAAGCAGTGCGCGCAGTGCAAAATCCCCAACTCCCAAGTTTAATTGAGAGTCGCCGTGGGGTGACCGCGTGTGCTACGTGGGCGCTCGTTCTTATAATCTATTTAGATTGTCTTGGGAATAAAAGAGGAAAAACACAATAAACGCACACCTCGGCCGGCCACTGCTTGGCTTATAAAGCAGATTTTCCAGGGCTACTTTGCGCATACCAATACCGACCGCGCTCTAGGAAACATCTACTCAGAGGTACTTTATGTCCGAGAGATAGTCAGGGTAAATTTTAAGGGCTTATAGTTTTAATCATTTATAGTTAAATGTTTTCAGTTTTTCAATTCAATTATTTTCTTCTTCAGATGCGCGAATGCCTGATTATCCTGAGCATCCTAGTCTCCAGTAGTGTGGCCATAGCCAAGGATCACTCGAACAAAACTCATCACTGCTGCAAAGCTGTTCAAAATGCAAGTGTTTTTTTTTTAAGTATTTACGCGATATTTTTACTTTTAAACATCATTTCATTAGGACAAGGGTAGCGGAAACGTGACAAAAATAGGCCACTTCGCTCCAAAAGGCATGCCAGAAAGGGCCAGGCGTTCAGTCAGTGGAGATCGCGACCCTCGTGCAAATTTAGCAAAGGCTCTCTTGGATACCAGTTCCAAGGAATTTCTACCAGCTAGGGGTGAGTTATTAATTTCCAACAGTTAAATTTCATGGATACTGATATTTTTTAATTAGTTATCAACAATTGAATGTCCGCCACTTTATTTAAATAAGCACATATTATATTTAAAATTTAAAACGTGGTGTATTTTAATTTTTATTCTATTTTGTAATTAAATTTTACAAAAAAAGTAAAATATTTTTGAAAATTTTGTGAAATAGGGAAAATATTAATCGGCGAAAATATTTGAAAGGTGTATACTTTTGGCAGGGTCAACCGATCTTAACCATATTCTAGGACCTTAAAGACCATGCCAGGAGGTTTTCAAAAATATATAGTTTTACTCCGTTATCTCGAAATTTATGGGTTTTACGGGACATTCAAATTTGGATTTTGGAAATTTTCAATCAACTGTATCTTGGCTTCCCGTGGTTGTAGAACAAAATACTGAATATGGTTGAATTCGTCTTGTTGCCCTCTACAACTTTGCTGTAGATTGCAAAATCGTAGGTCAAAGTTCAAGGTCACTTCCGGTGACCTCGTGACCTTTGACCTCAAAAATGAAGTTTATCCCCCAATTTTATTTTTATTCTGAAATAGCCATTTTGTAGAGCGTAAAATTTTACGTTATATAAGAAAATAAACCAGATGGCGTTTTTTGATATTGAATTAATAAAAAAATAAAAAGATTAAAAAACGTGGTTTTCCGATCAAATTTTCTAGTAAAATGTCTTTGAGCCTCTGTAACTTTTTCCCTGAGCAAGATGGCCCAAAGTACTTAATGACAAAAAGTAATTGTCTTGACACGGTCTATCCAGAAATGTATTACACATTGTGATCAGGTCACAAAAGGTCATTGACCCCGGTGACCTTTGACCTTTCCATATTTTTTCCATCTTGTGAGGCACATGGTTCGAAAGAAGACATTGAGGCGGTCATTTTCGTACCCGGAATTTTGCTGTAGCTCCAACAAAACTCGAGTTATTGACGTTTTTAGTTATTTCATCTTACAATTTTTACAATTTTAATTGGTTAAAACGTCAATAACTCGAGTTTTGTTGGAGCTACAGCAAAATTCCGGGTACGAAAATGACCGCCTCAATGTCTTCTTTCGAACCATGTGCCTCACAAGATGGAAAAAATATGGAAAGGTCAAAGGTCACCGGGGTCAATGACCTTTTGTGACCTGATCACAATGTGTAATACATTTCTGGATAGACCGTGTCAAGACAATTACTTTTTGTCATTAAGTACTTTGGGCCATCTTGCTCAGGGAAAAAGTTACAGAGGCTCAAAGACATTTTACTAGAAAATTTGATCGGAAAACCACGTTTTTTAATCTTTTTATTTTTTTATTAATTCAATATCAAAAAACGCCATCTGGTTTATTTTCTTATATAACGTAAAATTTTACGCTCTACAAAATGGCTATTTCAGAATAAAAATAAAATTGGGGGATAAACTTCATTTTTGAGGTCAAAGGTCACGAGGTCACCGGAAGTGACCTTGAACTTTGACCTACGATTTTGCAATCTACAGCAAAGTTGTAGAGGGCAACAAGACGAATTCAACCATATTCAGTATTTTGTTCTACAACCACGGGAAGCCAAGATACAGTTGATTGAAAATTTCCAAAATCCAAATTTGAATGTCCCGTAAAACCCATAAATTTCGAGATAACGGAGTAAAACTATATATTTTTGAAAACCTCCTGGCATGGTCTTTAAGGTCCTAGAATATGGTTAAGATCGGTTGACCCTGCCAAAAGTATACACCTTTCAAATATTTTCGCCGTAATTCAAATGCAATCTTTAATAATAAAAATTTAAATATTCATTATAGTACAATAAAAAAGTCCCCACCAGTTCGAAATTTCAGTGGTAATTAAGACAAATTGCAGTAATATAAAAATTTTAAAAATTTCACTCATTAATTTTTCCTAGGTCGGCGGGCAAACTTTGGAGAGCTCCGAGGTTTGAACTCTGCCGAGAACCCATTTTGGGCCGCCAGGGGCCGGCGAGACTTTGAATCATCCAAAGAGGACCCATTTTGGGCAGCTAGGGGTAAAAAACTGTTGGAAAATTCAATCGAGAAGGACGACCCATTTTGGGCCGCTCGTGGAAAAAAGCTGCTAGAAAATTCGATTGAGAAAGACGATCCCTTCTGGGCAGCCAGAGGAAAGAAGCTGCTTGAAGCCTCCGCCGAAGACCCTTTCTGGGCCGCGAGAGGCAAAAAGCTGCTCAAGTCATCTTCCGCGGAGGATCCGTTCTGGGCCGCCAGAGGCAAAAAGCTGCTGCTTGAAGCGTCTGCCGAAAACCCTTTCTGGGCAGCCAGGGGGAAAAAGTTGCTACTCGATTCCTCGGCCGAAGACCCGTTTTGGGCTGCCAGGGGGAAAAAACTGATCGAGTCGGCCGAGGACCCTTTCTACGCAGCTCGCGGCCGGCGCATGGAGAAAAGCAAGGAGGCCTCTGGGTCCAAGGAAAACCCTTTCTGGGCCGCGAGGGGCAAAAGAGAAGACCCAAAGGTAATGGACGGCTCAAGAGAAGTGGGAGTTTTGAAGCCGAGAGCAAACAGACAGCCTGGTGAGGAGTTTTGGCCGGCGAGGGGCAAAAGACCCACTCTGCCCTCGAACGTCAACAGCTTTCAGCACGTGTGGACGTACCCTGGAAGACTGGAGGAAGCCGTCAGCGACGACGACGTCGGCTTTTGGACCAGGTTTTTCGGTCTCGACGACGAGGACAGCAACGCGTCTGACGTGGTGGCGCAGATCCTCGGCATCAGGACCAACACGCAGAAGATTAAAAAGCAAATGGGCAGAAACGCCCCCGCTGTCAACCCTTGGTACTCAACCGACTTTTGGGCCACCAGGGGATGAGCAGTTGCTTGACGAGGCATGTTATTCAATTACGGGCTGCTGGACGATATCATGCACATGTTGTCACTGAATGCTGATGAGCTTGGAAATCAATAAAACAAAAACCTGGCTAAAATCTTGTTTCTAATTTCCAGTCTATTCAGATGGTTATTTAAAAAAAAATATGAAGCAATGTCATGACTCTATTTAAAATTCTAAAAAATTTATTCATCTTTCAATCAATTAAATTTCTGATTCAAATATCAAAATGACTGTGCTGCGCTTCAAAATTTAAAATTAAAGTAAAAAAATGCATTATAATATGTTGCATATAATTATATGAAATATTAAGTTACCTCAAAAGTAGTCAGTTTTTAGTGTTGCGCTAATTAAAGAATTTGATATAAATGAACTTTTTCAAGTGCAAACACGGCGGTTTTATTTTGAAAAGTTGTATCAGACTGAAATGTTTTTTTTTTTACGTTTAAAAACTTTTTTATAACGTTTTCCCTTCACAACCGTTAATTAAGAAACCCAAAATTATGAAAATACTCAAGAAAAAAATGAATATTTAAAGGAAGTGGCGCGGCGAAACTAAAGTAATTTTTTTTTTCGAATCAAAAGTGATACTCGTTACACTCAAGATAGATTTCATGAAATTTGAAACCGGGCGAACCTCGTTGCAAAGAAAAATGAAAAAAAAAAAAACTAAAAAAAAAAAATAACAACTGACCCCCAAAAGGCGACCTGCGGTCTGCTGGTACTTTAGAAACTTTGAGAAACCTCTAGGGTTTTGTCGTGTCCAAACTTAAACTAGGTGGGAGGAAATCATCAATAATTAAAAATAAAATGGGTTGAATTTAATTTTAATAAACAAAAATTGCATAAATTAATTATGCAAAGGAGTCCGTCAATGGAATTATACCCAATTTATTTTTAATTTTTTATGATTTCCTCCCACTTAGTTTTAGTTTGGACAAAACCCTAGTTTTTTAAGTACCAGCAGACCGCAGGTCACCGTTTGGGGTCAGTTGTACTTTATTTATTTCATTTTTCTTTGCAATGAGGTTCACCCAGTTTCAAGTTTTCATTTAAAATGGAGCCTGAATATGAAATTATAGTAATGCGTTTATACTTGTAAACCTATTTCAAATGCAATATATTTTATGATATTTATTTTCCTTTGCATCAAGTGTAGCAGTACTAGATGCTCTTACTACCTGTAGCATCGAGAGAAGGCTGCTGCATCCAATTTTATTGCATTATGCAAACCGTTCTGGCTGCAAAGAGCATCTTGTTGCGTGTACACGGTTCCCTCCGTATGTGCAGTGCTTGCTCTCGCATACAAACGCGCACTTACATAAAAGTTGGAATACGTGAAAAGTGATGCGCCTCTGTCGGTTCACAAGTGAGTGCGCGCGGACAGCGGGGGTGTAAAATGTAGAGTCGGGGCAGCCCCATTCTCCAGGGGTGGTTGCCGTGATAGGGTGGCGCGACGTCATCCGAGTTGCGAATGCACCCAGTTTGGCGTCGCTTCACCAGAGATATAAAGACAGGATGACAAGTCCGACGGTCCTCATCATGAAACAAGAGAACAGCCGGAGAACACACTCGACCAGAAACCTGCGCCCCTGCACATCCGGTGAGTTTCTTTGTGAATGTATAATATAATCTTTGAGTAGTTCTTAAAATCTATGCAGCAGGAATCTTTAAGAGACAAAATTAAATTGAAGCAAATTTTAAAAAACATGATTCTTTTAGGAGAATTTATATGATTAATGAAAATTTTTTTCCTTACTAGTTTCATGTTGGCTATTTTTTTAAGTAAAAACAAAAAGAACATGTTCAGTTCACTTCGCTCATTTGACTGTTCAAAAATGGAAACCAAAAGTGGTGCAATTTTTTTCTAAATTATTCTCCTCTCTGAGATACTCTATAAAATAGAACCAGAATCATTACAGATATTTTTTTTAAAGATTTTTTTTACTTGGATAAAATTTTGCACTGCAAATCCTTCATTTACGAAAGCAGTTAAAAATTAACGCAACTAATCACTGGTTTTCAAGGCAAACTTTGAAAAAACGAAAATATTAAAAAAAAATCAGAATTTACAATATTCCTCATGTTTTGCATTTATATTAATTAAATATAACTTGAATTTTACATTTATCGATAGTTTCGATTAAAACAAGCACTACAATTATCTAACAAAATCACAGTCTTATTTGTCTTTGCCATTTTTCTTCTTTCCGGCCATTAACTCGTACTCGTCTCCGTACTGAGGGAAAGATTCCATGCCTTTGATCGGTTGGTTTGGCAGGCTAGTGGGGTTTTTCAACTCGAGGGCCGCTGCATTTTTCTTCTTTAGCAGCATTAGGGCGTAACTGGCTTTGATTTCATCCTCTGTTGGGGGCTCAGCCCTCCGGTTCCTCAACCACGCTTCCCACTCTGCAGGAATTTCCTGCTCGAAGTCATCCTTGGTGGCTGGGTCAAACCACCTGGACAAAAAGTTACCACTTAGTTTGATAAGTAAATGGGATTTTGCATTTATTTTAGATTTATATTTTAAATAAAAACGTTTAATTGAGTAAATTTAGAATAAAATTAAGAAAATCACAAATTTTTGACAAAAAATAATAAAAAAGTAAATTTTAAATTAAAATATAAAATGACTTCTGATTATATAGAGAAAAAAATGAGAAAATGTGTGGATGAGGCACCTGGTGGGTCTTCGTTTTCCACCCTGAGGGTCAGCAGGCACTTCATAGTACTTGTTGCCAATAAAGTCTGAGGCGACCAGTTTGCCGCTCGGTTTGGCTGCAATTTTGAACGAGTTGAGGAAGTTTTTCAAAATCGAGCCTAATATGCTCCTCTGCGCCATTTCGGTACAGCACCTACGGAAGCACAAGACAAAATTCTCTGGTCAAGAAAAAATTCTCATTACGCGCGGACGGTTGATTTTTGTTAGTGGGCGCCAATAATCAAGATCTTAAGACGGCCGGCTAATGACAACAAGCGCGGCAGTTTGCTCAGCGGATTATGACGATATGGGAAAATGAAGTTAATAATCTTCGGATAAACAAGTGCAATATCGACACTGACGTAAAGTCGTCTTCGTTTAGTGGTCCATCAATAGACCCCACTTTAATTATCCCACAAAAAGTAATTACTTCCTTAATGCAAGAATACACTAGGCTCGTGGCTCGTGCATTTTAGTCGGATTGTGGAGGTCAAAACGTCAACTAGTTTTAGTTGATTTCACATAAATTTAGTCGCTTTTTTAGCAGTTTATTGCCAAAATAGTTGGTTTTAATTGATATTTTTTTAGACATAAAATACACGAAATAAACGTTTTTTTTTTTAAATTTGCATTATGAAATCTCCATTTTTGGAAGCATAAATAATATTTTATCACCCATTTTTCATCATTTTTAAATTTCCTAGCTCTAAATTATGCAGAAATTTGTGATTCTATGACACGTTATATTGAAAGAAAGGATACATTTGCTGGTACTATTGAATTTTTGTAATATTGTTGAACTATGAGCCTAGAATCACACTAAGATTATTTCAATGACCGCAAAAATTATGATTTACATCACCACAATACGGAAACTTTTCCTCTTGCATAGAAATAAAGATTGCTTTAAAATTGTTCAAGGAATGCTTTTCGGCGCGTGCCACGCGCTGAGCGCAGCGATGGGACTGATTGTGCTCACCTCTTCCCTCACACTGGCCGATTCCGACTGGGCGGTAACAACAATTCCGCCCTCACAAGATCCCTGCGCAGGTAATTAAAAAAAAATTATCACGGACTCAAGATACACCTGGATTTACTTTTAAAATTTTTATGGGAAAAACACAATATGTGTAAAAATAGGTTTTGTTTCTTTTGAAAATACATTGCAATTAGATTAATTAATTATTATAATATGTATTTAAATGTAAATTTCATTTTAAAAAGAAGGAATCAAAACTTTAGGAGACAATCATGGAAGTGAAGTAAACGGGCTTCCTATCTTGAAAAAAAAGCGGCTCTACAAGTTGAGAACAAATTTCATGAGCAAGACTAAAAAAAAGATATTTTTAAATATTTATAAAAATCAAGGATTGACAAAATCGCAAAAGCATTTTTTGATAAGATGATCGTTATCGCAACTGCAAAAGGTGATTGATCGCATGCGATCATTTGCGATCGTGGAAAGCAATTTTAATGCTTTTAATCTGGAAGACAAATTGTCAATTTCAGGTAATTTGATAGAAAAATTCCTCAATTAAAGACTTTTCATTAATGAAGTTCTTTTTTGTTCGGACTCCTTCTGGAACCAGAATTGTTAGAAAAACAAAAACAAAAAAACATCAGAAACGTGTTATTTTCTCTCAAATATATTTGATTGAGATCGCAAAATTTGAGATCGCGTCCATCCTTGCTAAAAATAAAAAATTGTAAACTAAAAAAGTTGTTTTTCAATAGTGATGATTATTTGCATTTTTTTTATTGTTCATGTAATACGATCGCAGACCATTACCAAAAATGATAAAGCCGTTTTTTTAATACAAATTTTTTATCGATGAGGACAAAGCCTGTTTTTTCTTTTCAATTAAATGGAATTACGTTAAAAAATCTTTGATATCAATTTTATCGATTTTGTATAAAAAGTAGATAAAAAAACTATGCAATTTAATTTCAGCTACTTTTTTTTTAAAACCTTTTATAATTTTGAGTGAAATAATTTAATAATCTTCTCTTTTCAATTTCAGACAAATTTACCCTTTTAATTTTAATTAAATCATTTGCAGGAGAGGACTGCTATGGCGACTACGAGGACTCATTGTGCTCGGTTTTGCCCGAGCTGTGCCAACCAGAGCCCACCGAGAGCAAACGGGCGTCGGGCTTTTCGGCCTGGGGCGGCAAAAGGGTGCCGTTTTCAACATGGGGCGGCAAAAGAACGCCCTTCTCCACGTGGGGCGGCAAACGCGTGCCCTTTTCGACGTGGGGCGGCAAGCGGCAGGGCGACAAGAAGGGCGGCAACTTCAACGCTTGGGGTGGCAAAAGGGTGCCGTTCTCGTCGTGGGGTGGAAAACGAGCCGGCGCCTTTTCCTCGCGGGGCGGCAAAAGGGCCGACGAACAGGTTTTCTCGGCCTGGGGCGGCAAAAGAGACCAGGCCAGGGACAAAAGGGCCTCCTCGTCAGGCAAGAGGAGCCCCGAGCTGAGCCCCGTGCTGGTGGACGAGAAGGGCCTCACCATCAGACGGGGGTCGGTCGACTTTTTCCCTTGGGGCGGCAAAAGGGACCAGCAGTGACAACCCTCGTTCAACCACCCCAAAATGTACCTCTGATTGTGTTTAATTGTTTCTTTACGGAAATAAAATAACTCAAATATGTGTAAGACCTGAATGTATACGGAGGATGGCTGGATGAGAATGGGTCCTCGTGCTTAATAAAAAGGCAATCTAAACATTACATAATCGCGTTGTTCATTATTTATGCTTGCAAATATATCCCGATAAAATTATATGTTCAAATCTAGATTTGCAAGAGCCAAAGTGAGAGTTTCATACAAATAAAAAAAGAATATTTGCCATTTTTAAGTCGAAGTTTCACTGGTTCTAATGTCTCAAAATTCGTATGTAGAGTGACGAAAATTAAAATTTACTAACCTCGCTCGATAATGAGATACGATTATCTTCTGCACTTATGGTTATGTATCCTCGAATAATGCACGTGGATTAGGCCCCGGGATGATTGGTTTGGTCCTTGCAAAGGAAAAAGACCAAAATTGCGGATTTCCAATGAAGTCAAAGGCAAAATATGACCGAAATGTTTTTTTTCAATATTCTCACCAAATCAAAACAACAATTGATGCCAACCAAACCAAAGAAAGAAATTCGAAAATTCATTCTTTAATTAGAAAATTAAGTTGATAATATCAAAAAATAATTCGTAACTCACAATTAATGTTGTTTTTTAATGAAATATTTATTTTAAGGAGAGAATTTTCACGGCTGATCTTCTTAATTTCGAATAATCACTTCGTGCTTAGGTTGCCTTCCTTGCGATGGAGCCAGGATTCCATTAGTTTCAATGGCTGACAGCAGAGGCGCATCAGTACAAAGTCGCAGCTAACAAACAATGTTGGTTACGCAACCTGCTCGACGAGGGCGTACAAATGGCTGCATATCTTTTAATATTTGCAGGGGTTTTGTTATAAAAATAGGAAATTTTGCAACTTGAAAGTTCTGGATTATACATTTGAGAATCCAATTATCTGAAATCTGAAAATAATATATTATCTTTAACAAAAATACTTCCCTCCGCTCAAAAATGATTTAATAACCAAAATGTGGTTGAAATATGAAGAGAAAAATTACAGAGTTTATTATTATTCAATTATTATTTTAGAGCATGATATTTGTACTTTAAAATGATAGTTTCATGCAGTTTAAGTTACTATTAACCTCTTCTCTGTGGCGATACCAATATTTTGACTATAGTGTTCTTCATAATGTAAAAATTCGTCGTGTTTTGCATAGGAGGAAATAAAATAATCAAGATCAAAAATTATGTTTGCTCATTTATTTAAATTTCAAATTTCGGATAACATAGTTAGAACTCCTCTCCTCTGTCTAAAAATTGCTCGCATTTAGTTGACGCGTCAGGCTTATTAAGTTAATTAGTTGAAATATTAAAAAGTACATTTCATCAAATTATCTGTTGAACGCTACCTGTTTTATCGGCTCAAATTTATTTAAAAGGTGTATGCTTTATTTTGTTATTTACGTAATTTATGAGAGCAGAAATTAGTAATTAATTGGATTGCTTGTTTTTTTTTTAATTCATCACTATACTATTTTGGATATCTAGAAAATAATAATTTTACAAATTCATTAATCAGAAACGAAGAATTTATATATAATTAAATGTTTGCTTAATCTGCTGCCTCTTTTTTCTTTTGAAAATACGGGGGTCAACCAACTGGCGATTTTCGTTCTTATTTCGCTCACAGCACAACGATTTTCTGAATATAGCTAGTCAGTTTGCCACGAAGACTGCGTCCATTTGATATATATTTTTATACAAACTAATTTCAAAGGTCCAGCCTCAAAATGCAACAAAACGAGTTGAAGCGGAGTGATCATGGCAAACTGACGACTGAGCGCTGCGAGAGTCAGTCCAGGTTTTTCTACTCTTGATAGCTCAAACGCGACTGCTCTACCGAGCTGCGCGGTAGACACAGCAGAAGGTTTAAAGCAACCAAGAACACACAAGTTTTTTTTCCGTAAGAGTCAGCGAAATTTTCATGATTAGGTAATGGTTGTAGTAGAAGTATTGCCATGAGGGGTTCGGGTCAAAGTTGTCGACCGTTGCAAGTGTGGGTTGTTGATTCGGTCGCTAGTTGAAAGCAGGGGTTTTCTGGCGCTTGGGTGCTGGTTGGCGTTAGTCCGAAACCCTTCCAAGTTCATCTGCCTTCTCGACCACATCTAGAAGAAAATAAAATAATAGAAGATTATAATAGATAATACCATTTGCATTTAGAGACAAATTGAAATCATATTAAAATCATCAAACCCCGGTCCTTAAAAATAAAAATTAACATGCTGATGCTTGTAAAGGTTAATTAATTAATAATTTATTATATAAAATAATATTATTTGTTTCTATTTTTTTTTTTTATTCTTTTTTGTTCATTTGTTATTAATTTATCATTAGAACCTAAATTTTATAATAGAATCATGATAGTATAGACTCCTATAATTTCTATGTTTGTTTTTTTAATCTAACAAATTTAACTTTCATTTAAATTTTTCATTTAGTAAGGAAATTTAACTCTTCAGGTATGCAATGAAAATGGAAAAAATGAGAAACAATCAGCAAGCCATTGTCTGCTACAACAATTGTGGCTAATTGTGGCCAGCTAGAACATGCACACACACAAGACTAAATGGGTCTTTGTGTAAAGTGACCACTTAGCCCAAAGCCACACATTTTCAAACACACAACTCATGTATAGCAACTCTATATATTGTTCTGCCGCTAATGAAGTCCTTAGGGCAGCGACGATAAATACGCGAGCGCTCGCGAAAGAGATGCAAAATAGCAAATCAAAACAACACAGCTTTATTTTTTTGGTGCAATCGACGCTTTGTTTGCTTGGCAAATTGGGTGAAATCAGCTTTGCAAACAACAGTGCGCAAGCTTTGACGTTTGCACGCCACCGGGCATTTTTTTTCTAAACTGATTTATAATCCTTGCTTCTCTCCATATTTAACTGCATGCACGTGAGAGTTTCACGTAACGTGTTTTTCCTTTTAATATTTTTTCTGATGCACGTGTGCAGCATTGAACAAAATTTCGTTCCCACTACGTGAGAGCGTTGTAGGATCAAAAAACAATTTATTTACAGGGGATCAGATTCGGGATCAGAGAGACGGAAGATGAGAAAAATGACGCACTTTATACAAGCAATGCTTGCAAGAAAGATAATTTTAAAAGCACACGACCGTTCTAGAACAAAAAGTGTATGTACGAGGAGAATGAGGAGTGCAAAGGAAAATAGGGAGAAAAAATAAATTGAAATTCAGAGTCTTGATGTTTGACATTTAATTCCAAACTTGGCAAACTTGTTTGTTTAGTTTTGTCAATTTTAAGAGCAATTATTTCAGCCTACAAATACTAATTTCTTTTTAAATGCATTTATAAAAATTTAAGTGTTGAAATTGCATTAAATTTTGTTAGAACGTGTATAGAGTATTTTTAAAGCTATAAAAATTTCCAAGTTATTCTAAGCACAGCAAACTTGCTTACCGCAAAGCAAAGATTAAACAAACAAAGCAACACCTATCCTTTATGGCACCTTCAATAATCCAAAGTGGCAGCTGCGTGTGATAGCAGAAGCCGACAAAATTTTCCGGCGCTTCCTGCTTGCCAGTGGTACATAGAAAAGCTGCCACGGCGTATATATGTGTGCGCATGTTTAATCGCCCCTGCTGTCAAGCTTGCAACAATGCATGATTCTCATACGCGTTTGAAAATATACAGCCAACGAAAATTCTGTTCCTGCACTATGCATGCAAATTTGGAAATGAAATGCTAAGCCATCAAAACAAAAGGAAATCCGTGGGGACAAAGAACAAAGCAACCCCAAATACCTCGAGCAGGTGATCCAGTGATGGTCTCGGACCAGCCCTGATCCTTTTTGCCACGCATCCCCATGAAGCCGCTCGGCGCCTTTTTCTGCATCTGTCCGCCCTCAAAGTCCATGTAGGGACTTGCAACTTCACCCCCTACATATGACGGGCTTTCTTTAGAAAGTAGTGCCTGAAGCAGGTTGTCCAGTTCTTCCGGGTCACTCTTTTTGCCTAAAAAATGCACAAGAAAATAAATTATCAAGAAAAGTGCATAAAGAAATAGTACGTATTTTTTTTTTATCATCCCCTCAGAATTAAATTGAAAAGGAAATGGAAAACATATCAAAGAAAAAATAAATACTAATTTCCACGTGACACAAAATATTCCTTGCGCAAGAATGAAAGTGCTATACGGAAGATTTGATTACCTCTGACTCCGAAGAAATTGCTCACAGCAGGGCCCTTTTTTCCTCGCATGCCAAAGAATCCCGCTGGTCTCTTCTTCCCTCTCATGCCGAAGAAACCCGCTGCTGGTGCCCTTTTTTCCAGAGCAGGGTCGAAAGTGTCATACCAGTCGTCAGACATCTTTTCATATTTTTGTTAGAAACAAAATGCGAAACAAAAGAAATTCTTACCTCGTAATCGTCTTTCTTGCCTCTCATGCCAAAAAAGTTGAGGTTCTTTGGCGTCTTCTTGCCCCTCATGCCAAAGAAGGAAAAGTCTGACGGCGCTCTTTTGGCCATCTCAGCCTCCCTGAAGTTCTGCACCAGGGCCTGCCAGTAGGGACTGCTGTTACGGGCCCACAACGCTGGAGGCTGCTGCTCATTATCGGGCAGGGATGCTTGGCAGCAAGATGTTGCCAGAAGCACCACCAGCTGTCCCAAAGATATCCACCTGGGCATCTGCGGAAAATAATAATATATAATTAATAAATTTCTATTAAAACTAAAAAAAATGTCGCATGTAAAACACATAATTTGTTCAATCCAAAGGAGTGAAATAAATGAACTAACGAGGGAAAAAAGTGAAAAATCTTTTTTATTTATCATCAACTATTACCAAGAGCAGGACCCCCTTGATAAAAAATCAGCTAGGCACAAAACTACACTATCACTTGAATTCATAAATATCTGATTTCCTTTTTGTGTTTTCTCTTTCCTTGCACACCACGCAGAGCCTCTATAATTGGAATGTTGATGGAATGCAAAAAAAGAAATACATTGCGGGTGTAATCATCGTGAAAATATGAAACCTTCCTCACTATGCGCGATTTTTTTTTCAACCTAGAGCATCTCATCATAACGCAATATTCAGAAAATTTGAATTGTAAATAGCAAACTCTCGCAGCTTCCTGCTTATATGTTGATGCTCTCGTTCGCGCTCTCGCACAGGTGCACTCGCGACATAAATTACTGTTGGCGTAAAACAGCGCGGAAGCAACAATAGCGTGCGCCGCTCCCGTTTCTTATACAACCCGCCGGTCCACACGTTAAGCGCTTCCTAGCTTTTTATGTCTCAAAGATAGAAAAAGAGAGCGAGGTCTGCTTTTTTCCTGTAGATAAAATAATGGTTTGCAAAGATTCATGGCCTTGTTGAAAACCGGAAACACGTGCCAGCAAATCTTAATTCATTTTAAGAATTGAGATATTGAAAACAGTAATTCTTCTTCCATAAAGTTTCAGATATTTGAAACTTGAAAGTTTAAATATATTGGCAATGTATCTGCCAAAGTTTTATTGTAAAAAAAAACACTCGCAAGAATGTTTAGCGTTCTATGAACAAAAAAACTGGTATAGCGTTTAAAATTAAAATTAAAAAAAAACCCTTAAGATCTCCTTTGCATTAATTTTTTCCAGAATGATTTAAAAGTATGGCGAATTTAACCGTGAAATTCTACCACAAAATTTAAAAGTAGTTTATTTCCTTAAACGTTTAAAACAATATATACAATTTTTTTGCAAATAAATATTCCAAAACGATAGCCTTTTTGAGCAATTGCAATCGATAAGAGTATATCTGTCATTTTGTCACCACCAGAAGATTGAGCGTCGTTTTTCTCCCGCGAAATTAAAACGAAAGGGTCTCCCTTTTGCGAGGCGAAAAACGCCAGTGGCGATGATTCGCCTACTCGGACGGTAAATGAGAGGTGCCGTTGTAGCCATCAGTGGAGCACCCTTGGGAGTTTCAACACCGGCAGAGTCGCATCTGTTTGCAACAGAGCTACGCCCGAGAAAAATGAGCTGAACATCTCGCAGCAGAAACGGGGGTGATTATTATGAGACGCTGCTCTTCCTAAACACTTACACACGTTCTCATTCTCGCGCAAAATACGGCTCAAATGTGCGCGCTAAAAATACATACCCTTCCTTGGCGGTGCCTACTTAGTTGATGGCAATTGTGTGTCTTTCTCGCCAAGCTGGGGTGTGTGTGTTTTAGGACGGGAAACGAGCTCTTTCCTTTAAATTAAGGCCATCTTTTCATACTGGCAAATGTTTAATTTTGCTGCTGAAGCAAAAAAGTAAAAAAAGCGCCGATTTCTTTACAGTTGCCTTGCTCGACTTCTTTTATAAATCTGGATTCTTCTGTCTCTTCAAAACTCTGGGTGAAACTTAACTTGGTAAATACAGGAAATTACTGGTTTGCATTGTAAATTGCGTGTTTGCCGTAAAAACCTCAGAAGACACAAATAGAGCGGAGGAAATTGGTCATTATTAGTGATTGGTCCTTTGAAGTATGCTCGCTCACTTCGTTCATCCAAGGAAATTAGCAATTTTACCATGGGCAATTGTGCCTCTTCGCTCTCACGCTACAACCTTGCCTGTTAATTGAAAGTAAAAACGCAAAAGCAGCCTGGCGTACACGGCGGAGGAGCGGGTTGCCTAACAAAGCAACCGGCAGGGAGCTTGCTTAATAGCTCTGCTCGTGTTTCTGTCTCTGCAAATGCGCCTTTCTCACTAGGATTTTTTTTATTCTTGTTTTGGTTAATTATTTGCATGTCCGCGCAGCGCGAGATCAAAGCCAGCGGGGACAAAGTGGGAAAGAGGAAATCGCACTTTTAATGAAATACAGTCAGAGTTTCTTTTTGAGTGTCTCCTGTGCACAAAGGTTGGCAACGTGGTGGAAAAAGTGTGATGGATTCCCTGCAGGGCACTACGGCCGAGCGTTTTGCAAAAGTTCCGCCTTTATAAAGGCAAAAAATCTCTACGCTATCATATCTGTGAGTGAAAGTTTGGAGGGTTTTTTTTCTCTTCCCGAGAATAAATTCTGAAATTGAAAAACGTTGAGATGTGGATTAGAACGGACTTAATCCTCTTCAATCCTCTTAAAGAATGCTTTATTTTTATAAAAATATATATCATTCAACCAAACGGCTCAGCGGTAAAAATTTTTTTTTCAACAATGACAAGGCCCGCTTTACTTCACCTCCATGAACGTCTCCCTGAGTGCCAACCTCTTCACTCGAATTAAAAATGATCGTCCTCGTTTCTGTCGCGGATAATTGTCCGATCTTTCCCATTTACTTTCCCAAGAAAAATGCAGAGCCAAATTAGGAGAGCGGATATTTTTCTTCGACAGGCTTTTATTAATAATATTTTAGAGCTTAAGTCAAATTATTTAAATTAACATTGAAATTTCAGGGAGTAAATTTCGCAAATATAATAATTTTTATTACCAAACTACAGAAGAACTTTAAATAATAATATATAATAATTTAATATCAATAACGATGATGTAAAATGAACTTTTTTTAAATTCAACAAATTTCAAACAAAACCATAATTTATAAGCTTATGCAACTAATGCGTTTTTTTATACTTAATTAACCCTTTTAATGAATTTAGATATTAAAAGTATGTTAAATAATATTTATGGATGCAAATTTTGATGTAATTGTCATATATAATTCTTCACACATAGATTAATTACTATTTATTTTGAGTTGAAAAAGGTGCTAGCTCACTTTTCTTGATGAAATAAAATAAAAATTGCAGAAGAAGTTTTAAATTTTACACTTTTACACTTTTTAGATCAAGTTTAAGGTCCAGAGCGACCACTGAAGTAAGGAAAATTAAAAGCTCAAATAAATCCAACCTCAAGACATAAAAAGTAGCACGGAGAAACACAAAACTCAATTTCAAAAGCTGTAATGAAATCCAGCCAAGCGGAGCGCATCAGTAACACAGCGACGGCACGACAAGGAAGCACGTCCCGCTTTTTTCAATTACTCTAATGACTCAAATAATATAAAACGCGCCTCTCCAGAGACCCCCCTTGTAAGAAGATTTCAACTTAATAACGGCCGTGTTAATTAAATATTTCCTTGCGAGCAACGCAGGCGCACTTGAAAATGAAAATTCTTGCGTCGTTCCTACACACGGCCTCGATTTGATGAGAATCGCAAGCCGTGGCGGCAGAAATTAAGTGCTTAGTTAATCCAGCGCAGGCAGGCATGTGAGCAGCCCACAAGTTGATTAAGCTCGCCTCGGCACGACTTAATGCCGCTTTATTCGCCGACCCTGTGTGTCAATACACCTGCGGGTAAATAAATAAATAAATTGCGAGACACACAAGAGGGGGCGAAACGTCTAACGAGCAAGGGGCTGTGCACGTCCCTTTACGAGAGAGGCGCAAGACCAAAAAGTTTTGCACGGCGCCAACAGCACAACTGAATTATTTAACTGAAGCGAAAGGGTAAACAAAAACACCCCGAGTGTGGCTGTTTCTTTGGGCGCGCCATACTTTTATCGTCAGAAAAGCATAATTTGCTACCGATAATTTTCGCTTCCTGAAGTACACAAGTGCTGACAGTTAAATTTGATCCAGCTCGTTTCGTGTTTAGTTTGCAAGAGGCGCAAAGGCAAACACGCCGATGTGTATTTCGGAAGGCGAAGAGGAAATAATCTCCAAACGCGCGCGCGTCGCTAACATTTCGCGGATGTTTGCCAAGCCTGAATAAAAAGCAAGCAAATCCAAACAAGATCAACATTCATGGAAATACAGGCACACGGCAAATTCCCTCATTACGAGCAAACAATGCATCCTTTTGAGCCTCCCACATTGGAAAACAGCGATTTTGGTTTGTGGGCAGACAATTATTGCAAATAATATGCTGGGTGGGCGCTGGGAGGCTCAGAAAAAAATTCGCAGCAGTCAACTTTGCGTCGGTTTGCGGCCTGCAAAGTACAAAACTGTGGCGGCGGCCGAGAGCAAGTTTTGTTTGCATTCGCGTGCCATATTTGTTATTTTTGCTCTCTGCCCTGAGAACGAAACAAAACTCTAGCTGTGTTGATTTTTCGCGTTGCGAAAAAAATACCGACACGTAAATAAACGTGAAAAAAGCTAATTGGAATTTTGCGTATGCATTTTTCTTAGACGAGAGATATGAGTAATCGTTGGAATGCGTGCCTGCAAAAGACATAAGAGATCTTGACTGGACAAGCTTTTGTGCTCGACCAATTATTCAGAAATAATTTTTCGAGGATTTAAAAAATGTACTTCTCACAATAAAACTAGGAAACATTCTTTCCAGTAGAAGAAGTGGAACTATTTTACTTCTCTATAAAAGTAAAATATTTAAGAATACCGTCAAGAGAACTATGAAAAATACAGCATGCCTCCCTTCTCAAGCGGATTTGTAAAGCGGATTCGCCAAAAAAAGACAAACACACACGGCTGTGTGTGCAGCAAAAAGCTTGGATAGGGGTTTGTTGAGCGTGTGCTGAGAAATTCATCCCGTGTGTGCTGGGATAGCATAGAGAGCTAAGGAATTGTTAGACTGCTTGCTTGTTACCGGCAAAGACTCTTGACCTTTAGTAAAAAGTTGCTGGCTTGGCGGCACTCCACCTGCCTCCATCGCCTCTGCCACCCTTCTGGCTGCCGTCGAGAGTCGCTCGCCGATTCA